GCCCCTGGTACTCTGTACCAGATCCTGCGGCATCTGCACCGTTGGTGGGGAGCTTCAAGTAAAATCCGGGTAATCACGCAACAAATCAAGGGCTGTGTGCGAACGTACCGTTCCCCTGAATGTTGCACGCCACCATCTATTAATGGGTATCATCTGAACTCTTCCTCTAATATTGACAAGTCTCACTTGTTTCACACTTCTGATTACTGTACCTATTCATTCACTTACTTCACAATTATTATATTATTATTTATCAATTTGTTCTTTTTTTTAAAGTCCTCATAATCACCACTAATAATACCATAATAATTGTCATGATCTCCCGTTTCATACACACTGTACAACTAACGGTTTTAGCATATTATGTTCTTCAAATAACATGTCATCAACCCCGCACACTAATTCTGTCTGAGTCGGTCAGAGTTATAGAAGGCGATTCGCGAGACAAACTGCTCACATATTTGCCGGAGATTAGGAAATTTAACCTTGAAGTGAGCCCAAGGAAATCAATTTGAATAATAGGAAAAGGATTTCGAACAAACCCATAGCAGTCTCTGTAATACATCTGTGGTACGAGAATCTGAAAAGGGTCTACAACTATTTCATTCCACTGAGGCAAGTCTGTCGTATCATGAATTAGCTTAAGGATGTTCGTAACGCAGTTGGATTTTGGATTTTGAAGGTCGCGTAACTGTCAATAAATGTAAGCAAATACCGTTGTGAGAACTGTAATTCGCACTGTCATATCTTTTTTTGTTGGGCTTTCCCTTTTCATTATACCTTATTTCCTTGATCATAATTAAAAACAGTTTTCCCTGTGTTGAAATTTAGTATTTGTGCATACCTTGAATCTTTAGACAAAGAGAATATACTGCCGAATTCAGCATATATACATATATTTCAGCTGAACTATTTAAGCGTTACTGAGAACTTGAAGACTCCATCTACGAGAGGAGATCCTCTGTTCGAATATTTGAGAGTACTGTGGTAAGTTGTGACAAAGATGAGAGAAAAATCACCTGATTACATATTATGGTTACTCATACCGTGATGTAGAAAAAGTAGTTTTAACGCGACAGAATTCACTCTAAGTTTATGGAATGCTGTTAGATGTGCCATTTCAGTGCCTCTCTCACAGTGTGCTTAGCTAAGGAGGTAGAGCTGAGTAATTACTGCAGAATTTTCGGGGGAAAATCTTAGGGCGCATTACAGAACGTTGGGTAGTTATATCCAGTCTTCGCCAAAGTTCTGCGATGCGCCCGAAGTCTGCCTCAAAGTTTCTGCAGTGCTCCTGAAGTCAGTGCTATTTGGGAGCTTCTTGATCAAAGCATGCATGATGGAAGTATTCTACATTGGTATCTTTTTTACCAGAAATCTTAAAGTGGATATTTCTATAATTTAAAGGACATAGATTCTTCATATAATGAAAAGAACGTAGTGACATCGGTAACCTTCAGTTGGTCGAAAATTGATATTTCACTTGGGTAGCAATTCAGTATAATTTAGCTATTGCTAGAAGTCATATCTTCCATACAATTTCTAATGAAAATATCACTGTCTTTTCACAATTCTAGCGCTTTAGTTGGCTTATACCTGCAGTGTGACTCTTATTCCTTTATAGTAGAACCCTGCTTATGTGCTATTGATGCTAGTAGATTAAATGACATCTGTGTCAGAAATGTACAGCCTGGAGTGTTTTTAAAAATAATTTATGCATACACGAGTCCAAGGACTGTCATAATTCACCTTTTTTGTAAGGATTTCAGTAATGATTAAAATCATGTTTTCTATTTCCCACTGCATACTAAAAGCTATAGTACGTTGAAGACACTCATTCATAGACAAGCAACAAATAGTGCATGCTGTATGACATTTAAGCTTATTGACCAAGTTCATTAAACATATGTTTCCGTGTGAAGCTTGTTGTTATTCTGTTAATCATCGTGTTTCACTGTTGTGCTTACTGAATTTGTAAGACATCATTTGGTTTTTCACATTTTCTCAGGTTTTTATACGTATACATAGATACATTTATCCACAATACAGGAAGTGCTATAGTTGAATGAGTTTTGCTAAAGATGAACGCTAAATCACTTAGATTATTGATAACTCCCAGTTTTTAATAGCATCAGCTTACTAAAAGAATTTGGAACCTGTATTGTATTTAACTGGTTTCGTTCATACTGTATAGCTAAAGTTCCTGGGAAGCTTAAGAATCTCAAATGCTGTGGAAGACAGATCATGTGTCATGCCATATTACGGGGTCTCTATATGGGCTATTATTATCCCGACAGGATAATATAGGCTCAGTCTAATTAACAATGTTTCTGTAGTACCATACAGTTGCTCACTGTGAGCACTCACATGTCCCTTCAAAATAAGTTTTGCTGCCACGTAAACTGCTTGTAAAAACTAAATGTTGATCAGCAAAGTAAATCCGAATTAGTTTAGTAAGAATAAGGGTAAGTGTTCATCAACTAGCTGCTCTTAATAAATAGCATCCTACTTTAAACTTTGACGTTATTTATTTCATGTTCTAATCTCACTTCGACCAATGTGTGTTCGCGAATAAAGAGTCGCAGTTTTCTTAAGCTCCTGGTTTTTGACTTCCACGCTTTATTGTGCGAGTTACTGTACTAAATACTCAGTCTTTGGCTACTATCCGCTAAATTTTAATGTTTTATCTCATTTTGTTGTGATAGGTCAGTGATACTTCAGTGTCTTAGTTGAATACCCATGCATCGACTTATAAGCTGACTGAAATCCATTGTTGCTGATAGCTTGTCTTTATTTGATGACACTAGATTGGCTTCATTTTGTCTTGACAAGCTAGGAATAAGAGTATAATTTACACCACTTTAGAAGAACCCTTAGTCAAAATACAGCAGTTCATCATTACTCTAACCAGAACTAACGTCAATAAAGAAGCAGTGACATTATACAGCACGTAAAATACGTTTCCCATGTCACAAAATATGATTCACAGGACTATCTTTGTTAGATGAAGCAAGTTTATAGTTTAAAAAAGACGTTTAATTTCAGCAGATTACGAACTAAATAATAAGCACCAAATTAGGTCAGTAAAGTTTGAGAAAGTGAAAGGTAAACCATCAAAACCAAACTACTGTGGTTTCTACGATTAAGGTAACTAAAAGCGACACTTGTTAGAGAAAGAGAGGAGTATTCCAAAGACGCAGCAACTGTGAAGTTTTTCGAATAGGGTGTCAATAAGTTGTAGATGATAGCAGCTGATCTAAATTGGCACTGGTGTGATAGTCCGTTAAAAATTCCGAATATTTCAAAACTTTTAGTTTGCTGTCAGCTATAGCAGTCCAATACTTTTATTGTGATGTTACGATAACTATATTTGTTTGAACTTACAGGCAATCACATAAAATCCATACATTTATTTTACTACCACGCATTACTACACATGACTTAAAATCACTTTGTAGTCACTCGGTCAGTTACTTATAGAAGCTGTATATTAAGCAAACGATAGACGTAAAATTGATGGAAATAACGTAGACAAAGTCAGCAGTGCTTAAAAACAACGGAGTAAAAAATGATGCAAACAGGGAAACGAGATAAGATAAGCAAACAAAAGATGAGGCAGGGATGCAACTGTATAACTGTAGTTGATTCCGAACAACATAATCCAAGTCTTATAACTAATGATTAGGATTTCTTTGTGGACTTCAATCAAATAACTGACACTTCTTTACACGATTCAAAACAACAGTCATTGACTTCATGGATTGATGCAGTGTTTCGCTCTGGCCACCATGCAGTTTTTCAATATCCTGTTTTGACTAATATCACCGTTTCATGAATGCGTGAGTAATACTTAGCAGTCGCCTTGGAGAATTGAGGTGCATTATTTGTATGACGAAATACTCATCTTATCTAGAACTGCACATATAGATTTGCATTACTCACATAGCAATACTACGGGTCTTTTGCTTCCGTTGACTACATTTTACGCCTATATTACAGGATAAAGTGAACGGTGGTGTGCCTTACTAGGGTGCTGAATATCTTACCGAGTTCAAGAGCGGTGCAGTTCGGTGAAGAAAGAGGTCACTTTCTTATATAGATAAGGATTTCTGTAGCCGCCAATACAACAGAGTTTCAAAATATCGGTCGAACAATCCTATAGTTCCATATTCGTCTATAAACGTTACTATAGTAGAAAAGCTAGTTTATGATTACTCAGTAGAGCAAACGTATATGAAAAACGATCTTTCACTTATTGACATCTGATTTAATTCAATCTAGGTCTGTAAATGAAAGCTTCCAAAAATAGGTCATTTGTCAACATTTATTATCTCTAAATGTACACTAATAACTTGTTGACATTTCGTATTCACTTCACTGATTTTTTAGTCAGGAAATTATCAATTTACATGACATAAAGCACCAAACAGCGGTCAAACTGTAATGAAAAATCAATGATTTTGTCATATTCAAGTATTGGTTTGTAGGGATTCGGTTGATTGGTTACAGGATTTCATCATGAGCTGACATTGGTTAGAGAATCATTGGAAGACCTGGGAGTACTGGACAGCAGAAGTTAAAATTCATGGACCATTGGATCGGGTCCCAGTGGTTTAATGGTATACGAGCTCGCCTTGTAACCAGAAGGTACCGGGTTCGAACCCCGGTGGGTGGGTACTGATGAAGAGTCTCAAACTAGGACCACAGAAGCAGCTATCCAGTATTCCCAGGTTTTCCAGTGGTTCCCTAACCAATATCAGCTCATGATGAAATCCTGTAACCGATTTTGCCATAATCTGTCATTATGAGTTATTGATATTTTTGTGGAAGATCATCTTCCCCTTACTGCATACACCTCAGTAATGTCTCTTAAATTTTTAAACTACTGTTTAGTTTGTTGTTTTCTTCACAGATAGTTCGTCAGTAAATATCGTCCCCTACCTTTATTATGCTTTTTCAGATATAAAAATCTCTACCCTTAGCGAATCCTGCCGTTTTAAATTATGGCATGTGTAGCACTACATCACCTGGTCATTGCACTTATTCTAGCCATGGTGGGCACATTTTCTATTAGGTGAGTTTTGTGGTTTTGGGTATCTGAAAAGTTAAACGTTTGTAATAAGTCGTGGTAGATGTATGGGGTACATAATATCAACACAAACTTCCAGTAAACGTGAACAGTTGATTTTTCCCTATTGTTATAATCTTTTCATCGAAGTGCGAAAATAACTCATCCTAAAATATATGGTTGACCATTAAGTGTATCAATTTACTCCTTATTAGTTAATTTACTGGAATCATCAAGACAAATTGTGTTTAATTAGAAATTTTATTATGAAATTGTTGATTCCTGCGCAATTTTGATGAGTCTATTTATAGTAACATAACTGTTATAAAAGTTTCAATGTCTCAGGGAATTCACGTGAAATGTGTTTTGGCAAACATTTGGCAATGAGTGAATTTTCTAATTCAACTTTGTTATGATGGATAGTTTACTAACTCATATTATTGAGAGGTGTGAGAATTTAAAATAAAACAGCTAAATTATCAGCAGAGCCCATTGAAAGAAGCTCTATTATGGATCACTGAAGGACAAATGCAGCATAATATAGAGGTTCTTACAGTTTCGCACATGTATTCAGGGAAAATGAAAACAAGAAACAGATCCATAATGATAATTATTAAGTGCATCTTCTCATTGATTATTCCAGAGTATAGTGACTTTCTGATTTAAGCTGTACTTGATTATTGTGCCCAGGTTGGTTGAAGCGTAGTAAGATCAAAATTAGGCAGTTCCTCGATATTTCACTTAAATTACTCAGAGATACTTCACCTTCTTTCACTTCCTGATGCATTTTATAACAACAGATATCCCCACTTATGACTGGTGCAACTATTTATGGTTTTTCGGGTGTTTCCTAGGAATGTTTGTCCACTGCTTATTTCAAACTATCATTTTAGCTTGTGCAAGAATAGTTTAGAAGTACTTTGGTGTGGTCATAATGACTGGCTGCTAACCAGGCATGCAGTGTTTTGCTCTAATCATATGAAAAATATAATCGTCCTAGTTGAATTGCTAACGCAATAAAAATCTTTGATTCGATAGTCTTGCTGGTATGACTTGGAATATGCCACACTGATGTTTGTGGAATCTAAGTTGTTATACAACTTTTCCTTATTCCGTTCTTTGTTCTTTTATCTTTGAGTAATTTGCTGCGGATATTGACACTGCATTTCTTGTTTTCCCTCTTAATACTCCTCCACACTGGTGTAAACTTTTGCAATACGCTTTGTATTCTTGCAGTGTCATTATCTACTTTAAAAAACGTCTGTTTGTCTGTACTAACCTAATTAAAGCTGTGTAGCTTTATATCTGAGCTTTAATATGTGTGCGTGGTCGCGAGATCATGAAAGGTATCTGCACATCAGAAAGAGAACTTTCTTAATATAACATCATTGAAGAAGGTAGCGCTACTTAAATGTGTAGTACTTCAGTACAAAATTTCATCGTAAACCCCCGTCAAGTTATTCATCCACTCTTTAAGAAATAATTGATATGTGGTGTGGTGTGTAAAACGATAGACACTTGGCACCTGTTATAAAATACGATTTTTGTTGACTGTAGACAGATTACGTAGTACTTGTTATTGTGCATAGTATAGCTCATAAAAGTATGTGTAAAACTTGGATAGTTTAGTAGTTTGTTATTGCATATTAATTTGTTTATTAGGTATATCACACCGTGAAACAGTATTATTCACTGGACGACAATTTATTGTCTATAATCCTACCATACCAGGATTGATATAACTGTGAACGACAAACATATTAATATAGAATTTAGCACTTTAATTTATCCACATATTTACTGAGTGTTATTTCTACCGAGTCTTACTAATAACTGCATACCTGTAATATCGATTTTGTTCTTCGAAACGTTGAATCTGTGCATTACCATTCTTTTTTCCATTCCTTCACGTTCCCAGTGAAACATAGGGCTTCAAGCTAGAGGCTTGAAGTTTCTTTAGCAGTGTTTATTATTTTTACAGGATGGGGTTGCTAGCCTCATGCCCAACCTTTCCTCTTTACCAGCCTTATTACTAGCTTAGCGAGGTAAAGGAGTGTGTCGGCGAAGGATCGAACCCCGGACCATGTACATGGTCGGTGAGCTTCCTAACCGCTGTGCCACCGACTCAATCATCACCACTCTGGTGAACCGTAACCCCTAGCAGTTATTACATAATCAACGTCTCAGAATTACTACGTCTCAGCATTTTCATAGCATGCTTACTTATTTTTCAGTCAAATCAGTCACTCATTAAATCTTCGTGGTTATAGTTTGGGTTCAACATCTGATATGCTTGATTTCAAAAACTTTTACGAGTATGTTTAGTTTTATGTCAAGTTTGGAAAAAATATCAAATAGACCCAAGGAACTGTAGCTCTTATGGTCTATAAAGGTTCAAGTTACCAATCCTATTTGATTAATTTTTGATAACATGGAAGCCTAATTAATATCCGGTAAACATTTGTTTGTATTTAGCAGCTCTTATAATGTATGCAATAGAAATATTTACGTTACATACTATAGCGATTTTCCCTTTCTTTCTTATTCAGTTACTTAATTTCTGCATCAGACCATCATATCTCCGTTTTATTTCCATATATAAGGTGAGTATACACAATACATAAAATTATATAACTTGACCATGAATTTTTAAATTATGCCTTTATACTTAAATTGATATTATTATTATATCTTGTTACCTTGGATACCCAGTGAAATATAGGGCTTCAACCACTCATCTTCACTTTGTTATATCTTCTGCTATCCGCTTTGGCCAGGTCCACGATTGTCCATAATCTCTCATCTCCTCCAACTCACACGACCGCCTACATGTCAACCCCGTACTGACTCACTCGTAGTTTTCCACCCGGGTTCCACTCTAGCGATGGCCTGCATTACGTGTGATTTAATCGGACAGTCTCCTCAACGTACGCCCAATCAATCTCCATTTTCTCCTACACAGTTTTTGAGCGACAAGTTCTTGGTTAGTTTGTTCCCATAGCTTCTTGTTGCTAATTCTTTGTGGCCAGTCGGCCATTTGATTTTCAATATGGAGCCAGCCAGCGAAGTGGTCAGCTGTTGATAAGAGTCTTCAGTCATTTGTTGGATATGCTTTAAGTGATGCGGGTGCCAAGTTTCTGACCCGTGTAGAAGAAGCGACTGACTTGACATTAGTGTTGGAAATCCGAATCTTGTTCTTTATGCTGGCTGGCTGAGTTAGTGCAGAAGATTTCCAAACCCATTTCAGGTTGATGAAAGTGTGTCTTGGATTTCCGATTCTGACTGACCTTAATATCTTCATCCGATCTGTTAGCTGTGGATGAAACGATGCTTCCTAGATAAGTGAAGGAAGTAACCTCTGTCAAATCTCTCCCGTTGATGGTGATTGGTGCTGGTTGTTGTTGTCGCTGCTGCTGCTGTTGGTTGGTTATCTTCATCACCTTTGTCTTCTTTGTGTCCGCCTTGAGTCCTGTCTTCGTTACCAGCCTTTTCAACCAGTCTGTTGGTTTCCGCCTGCCTACAAGTCTTCGAGTTTGTGTGACATTAAACATAAGTTATCTGCGAAGTCCAGACCTTCTAGAATCTTTTTATCGGTCACTGCAGCGTATTCCTGTCTTCTCACTCCCCAATTACGCTGTGCCACATAATCCAGTCTACCGTAATTAAGAACATCATCGGTGATAGCAGATAGGCAGCCAGCTTGTCCAACTCCTATATTCACTTCAATAGAAGCACTCACTGAGTCGGTTTTCCGTTGTGGATCGCCTGCCACATGGCATTGTCATATAGCCAGCTGTTGAATGAGGTTGGAAAAGACCCGGGGCACTGAACGCCGTAGTGTTGGAGCAGTTTCCAAATAACTCCATGGTCGACGCTCTCTGTCTAAGGCCTTCTCGAAGTCGATGAAGTTGAGGTAGAGGTTTAACTGCCGTTCTATGCTTTGTTCCGTGGTGATGATGATAATGTGTAGAGTTGCAATTCGATCAGAGCGTGATGATATGCCTTTTCTGAATCCAGCTTGTTCTGGCTGACGGTGTTCTGCGTCCAGTGCATCTTTGATCCTCTCCAGGATGATGAGTCTTAGTATTTCACTTGGCGTGGACAAGAGCATTATTCCACGCCAGTTCTTGCAGAGTGAGGCGTAAGTCGCTCCTTCTGGTAGCTTGACGAGTTAGTCTTTCTTCCAATCGGTAGGTACCTTTCCTTCCTTCCAAATCTTTTGCAACAATGGCATGAGAACAGATGCCGCACGCTCTGGGTCCGTCTTCAGTGCTTCGGTGTAGGGGAATCCCGTCTAGTCCTACTGCCTTCCCGGACCTCAGTAGCTTGATCGCACTCAGGATTTCTACTTTCGTTGGAGAATTGGTGTTAACTGGCAGGCAGTTCTGTGCGTACTGTTGTTGGTAGTGTATTTCTGGGCGAGTTGCAGGTGATGGTCGATTCAAGAGCCGTTTGGAGCGATCAACCCATTGTTTTATCTGTTTCTCCTCCTCGGTAATCAGGTTCCCTTGAACATCTATTGGTTTCATCATCTGGGTTGGTCTCTTCCAGAATAGAGACCTGGTTATCTGATATAATGTCCTGAGGTCTCTTTTACCTGCCTGTTCTGCTTCAGTTGCCGCCAGCCAGTGTATCGTAGAACTGTCTTTTGTCTTTCCTAGCACTCTTCTTCATTTCCTTACTCAGTGCAGTGTACACTAACCTCGGCTTCTCCTTCTGTTGTCCATCTTCTCATTGAGTCTTCTTCTCTTTCACCACCGTTCTCTTCTCTCCTTGATTAGTTTCCAGGTAGGTGTCAGTTGAGAGCCATCTTGCTTCTTCTTTCTTCCTAGAACAGTTTTACAGGTTTCCTTGAACAGCACCTTCAGGGAGTTAGTTCCAATGTTCTTCCATGCAGGTTTCCATCGTGATGTCAAGTGGTGTATCCGACTTAGCTCTGATCTGATCTGTGATGAAGGTATCCCTTGCAGTTTTATCTTTCAGTTTCTGGGTGTTGAACTTCAATTGTGACCTGTCTGCATTTGATTTGAGCGATTTCAACTTCTGCTTGAAGGTTCCTTGAACTAGATGATGGTTTGAGCTCACAGCTGCTCCCCTTCCCGACTTTATGTCCAGCAGACTGGCTACGTCTCCACTTCCTTGAGCAGCATTGCGATGAAATCTATCTGGTTTGTGATGTATCCGTCAGGTGAAATCCATATCGCTGGCCTTGTGTATATCCTTGTGCCTGTAATAGCTGCCTCCAATCACCAAATCACTGAAAGCGCAGAAGTCTGCGAAGATTCTTCCGTTCTCATTCATTTCTCCGAGTGAGAGCCTCTCGACCCATAATGACTTCTCTTCCTGTATTATCTGCTCCCATTTTGGCATCCATATCGTTCATAACGATTTTGATGTCGCCATTCGGGATGTTGTCCATTACTGTTTGTAGTTGTCGCTAAAAATCTTCCTTTTTCTTTTTGTCCGGGTTCTTTGTAGGTGCTTAGCGTTGGTTAATTTTGACCTTCCTTCCTTTTGAGTTGAATCTTGCTGTCACTATCCTGCATGAGGAGATTGGTTCCCACTGCATTAGGGCATTCGCTGCCACTGGCGACATCATGATGGCCAGTCAGTGCCGCAGTGTGCTCGTGGTTATCGTCCAGGTAACCAGATCGGAGTAGATTACTGGCTTATCAGTTAACAATTTTGATAATCCACATCCACTCCATCTGCTCTCGCAGATTCTCAGCACTTCTATACCATATCTTTGCATTTCTTTGGCTACCAGGGCAGCCTTTCCAGCCTCGTGCACTGTATGAACATACCACATCCCTATTCTTATTTTTGCCTTCATCGAGAGGAGACACATTGGCTAGCTGATCGGCTTCTCGAAGACTTGGACCAGCCCATGTCATTTGACCTCTCCGATTCCAGCGAAGAATAAGCTCGTTTTCTATATAATTTGTATTTTTGTGCGTCGAAGTTTCTTTAGCAGTTTGACAGATTTTCCACGGTACGGTCGCTAGCTCCACGCCCAAAGCTCTCTCTTGGACAGGTCAGAAAACTGGCGCGCTAGTAAACTAGGCGATATTTAAATTTATATTGGCACTACATATTGAATGCCGTGCACCGTGTTAGACAATACATGTGATTTGAAACTTACTGAATAAAAACGTTTGCAAATTATGCTGTACATAATCGTGTGATTTGTTCTTATAGCTCACTTATATCTAATAATGACAGTCTTTTTCTCAAAACTTTATAATTTGCGCATAGTGTGCATTCGCGCTAGTTTTTGTACACTCAGTTAATTTGCATTATTATTTATCAAACTGTTAGTACCTAAGTCTATCGTGTGTACTAATCACTGATTAGGATTAAAGTTTATTTTTCGCTACATACATATATATGTCTTGCACTAAATTTCGAAACACTTTTACTCATACTTGTTTTGATTTTATGCTTACCTTATATCCCATTGTAAATCTGATCAATGGTATTGATGGCTTTCAAGATACTGGCTAGACAAAAATACTTGTCATTGTGTGCATATGTGAAAGCATTCATCACAAATTTTTTGGAATATTATCAATCTCTTCCACAATGCTCTGTCTATTCCACAGTGTTGTTTATGCTTTTGGTTAAAAAAAAGTGTCTGAAATTAATCTGGGTACTGCTTCTTTTGAAATGATGATATCGCTATCAATATTGTTGTCCTCATAAGGTTTTATTAATATTGTTCCGATTATTGATCGGTTATTTCTTTTTCTCTGCCATTAGTGAAATGTGGCAGCATTCAAAAATGAAGTGATAACGTTGATCTCTAATTTGAATAAAAGGCGGAAGTCCTTTTTTGAGACATTTATGTTTGGATAACGTGTCAGAATGGTAACTGTGAACTGACAGACTAAACAGTATTATCCAATATTTCAGATTTGTGGTGATTTCAACTAATTTCAGTTTCGATTTCATCATGAACCGAAATCATTTGTAGAATCATTAAAAACAACGGTGCACTAGACTCGTGTCAGTGGCTTAATACCAAGTCGGTGAATAATCAAGGTGTTGGCTTTGTAACCTGAAGGTCCTGATTTCGATCCCTAGTGATGTTGTTGATGCGTGCTACTGAAGAATCCAAATGCAGTAAGACAGATGTTGCGTAATAACAATCAGGGTTGAATAGGTGTAGGAGTACACAGAAAGAACAATTCTTATTAACCAACAGGCTACCTTGATTTTTAAATCATCTTCACTGTATGTTTAACAATAAGAATGGTATCTAGAAAGGCAGAGAAAACTTATTAATTAAACCCTCTTATTCAGATAATATTACAACACGAAGAGGTACTATCTTCCTTCGTTTAAAATCTTTCCTTACTAGTTAGTTTAGAGCTATCATTTCTTGATTATCATCCGGATACCATTTTATTTATCTCATCATTATTATTACTATTCGTTACTAGTGATCCGAATAGAACATAGGGCTTTGGTGGCGCATCTATTCTGTACTAGGTTCCCTGTCACCTCTGCCTTCTAACCCTCGTATCCTGTTCACATAGTCCTTCCCTATTCTCTGACAATTCAAGTTCAGCACCTAAAAATTGAAGGAACAAGCTGCAATGGACAGGTTAACAAAAGTCATCGGGAAGAAGTTGGAGACACTGAACAAAATCACTGAGAAAATTTTCACGAAAGAACAATGGAACTCTCTGAAACACATGTGAAAGAAAACCTTTATAGATACCTTAGTCTAGAAGAAGAGGCAGGATAAATAATGTCACTCCGTGGACACATGGAAGCTCGTAGAGAGAAGGACGATAATACAGCAGAAGATGAGATAGTGTAGAGATAAACAGCGAAAGAAGAAACTCATTATACTTTACGATGCACTGAACACAGGAGTGGGGAAGAGTGATAGCGAATTCAAAAGAGGCTTTTACGATCCACTAGAAACTGAAGCAGAACAGGCTGTAGGTAAGATAAACCTCACAACACTACATCAGATAACCAGGTCCCTATCCATAAGGAGATCAGAGCAGATGAAACCGTTGTAAAATAGTGAAGTTTACCCAATTACCAAAAAGTTGAAGTAGAATAAGCGCTGAATTAGCCACTCCAAAGCACTCCTGAATCACCCGATACCTGCAAATTGTCTAAAAATACCACCAACAGACACAGAATCACCACCCCTCAGGCAAAAACAAAAGTCTTGAAGGCTGTGAACGTAGTAAAAGCCCAGAAAGAAGGAACATCAGATGAAGTCCCTCTAGAAGTGCTCAACAAATATGCAGAAGGAAATGAAGGTGGATTTGACATCAACTGAGCAAGCCTCTTAGTGACGTCCTACTCTATGTAGGCTCTCAAGCAGAACCTGAACGGGGAATGGCAGCTTGGCTATTGAAGTTCACATGAAAGCGATCATATTTAACTCTAACCGTAAGTAAATAATTATGTTCGTCATGCATTTATTTAAATAATATGTAGTGATATACTTTCAGTAAATCTCTCTTGTCCAGTGATCACCAGATTCATTCATACTTTTTATAATTCAGTGACACTGGAGCCTTACCACCGGAAAGTTGTGTATTTGGTCAGCTACTCAACTTATGTTCATTTTTAAGTAAGTTTCATGAGTTACTATAATTTATATTTTTTTTATTGTCATTCATTATACCAATAAATTCTTTTTCACAAAAAATCAAACAATATTTCTTTGAATTTTCTATTAACCGGTAACAAAAAAATACAGTGATTACCAGACTTCCTCATCCCTATTAGGTTTAAAAAAGGGTTATTCATTGAGTTATTTTTTGATGTCTCGGGAATGTGTATGCAGAAGTGATAGAATCAATGACAGCTGGGTTCTTACTTTTACAATCAAAGTATGAGAGGACATTTCTGGGTATATAGGCGAAGTCATCATGTTGGCTTATAAGAATGGTCATTGCAAATATTGAGGATTCCTAAATAATTATACTTTGTAAGAGGGAGGGTCCAATAAATACTGCCTTTACCAACCACATATCTTATCACTGTGAGGATTAATGTTGTCTCTTTTGAGGCTGTTTTCAGTTAAAAACAACTGCGACAAGAGTGTGAAAGATCTTTATGAACAGCTTCTAATTTATCTCTACCGTGATAGTTATAGATTGATGGATTTATTCCAACTGATGCATTATATTTCTGCTGCACTTCAAGAGTATTACCGAATATGTCAGTGGTCTAAACATCTCCAGTAAAACTACCTAAGACTTTCCAAATCGTTATCAATTGTTCATTTCATTCTCTTCTGATTTCTCTCGGCCATTTGTGCAGATTTAACTGCATGCTACTTTTTAATTCACCCACTTCTTCAATGTGCGTATGTCTATATGCGTAATGAGAATTCATACATACTTGGTCTCTTCAATGAGCACAGTAAAATCAGGTATCAACATTTTTAATATCCGTGTGCTATAAGAAGTTGATCAGAAACTGTGATTCGCTATTTTTTTAGAACTAAAAGCACATGTTAGTAGCACTTGAAAATAAGACTAAGACCTAGATGTCTCTTTGACCCGTTTCGGTCAGGCTGGTAAATATATTTTCTACACACTTCTAACACCTGATGGTTTAATGACCGGATCTTGCAACTCGATATGACATGTTTCATTTCATGCTTCTGAGGTGATTTCGTCATAAGGCAAGTTAGAGAACATATTTCATACAGTTGATATTTACTGAGCATTTCTCTAACCAGCTAACTGTGATGGGTTGTTTTATATGACTTGGTGGATTTTATATATGAAGAACCAGTCCAGTCTATCAGGACGTAGCCTTACATTTCATAGGTTCACACGCACATTTTGTCAACATATTTGTTTAAAAGAACTAGTTTATTTGTACACCTTTCTACAACCTAACTTATTCTATAATAGAGTCGGAGGTAAACAGAATTTCTGCCTACAATGCATACATAATTAAGGGCAACAGAATGTTGATAAAGACCACTCTTAACCTACATCATTTGTCGTCGTCGTCATAACAAATAGCGATTCACTGTAAGTCATTACAGATCTGCAGAACTTGAATAGAGGACCACTGGTTAACATACTATGCTCTCTTAAAGCCAGATACAATTATTTCCTGTCAATGATAAGCGTTAGGCATCAGTTGTCTGAGCTGATTGTAATTGGTTGATCAACGTGCTTCTTTTTTCACCTGAATTCTGTCCTGTTTCATCTTGTTTATTTCCAATCAACTTCTGTGAAAAGTTCAGCGTCTACTGCAGTTACTAGGATGATATTCTGATAAATCTGATTATCATAGTGCTTTTCCATGCCTATATAAACATGGTTGATGTGCGTTGGTGGCACAGTGGTTAGGACTCTCGCCGACCATGCACATGGTCTGGGATTCGATCCCCTACCGACGCACACCTGATATCTATGGTCGGCCTGCAAGGTTTGGGCTACCGATATCACATGCTGAAAATTCCATACCTGTACCAAAAAATACGGTGTGGAATCAAGCTGTAATAAAAAGAACAAATTCTCGCCTGAATTCTATACACTTGCTAGTAAGCCGATTATTCTAATCTACACTGATTAATTGTTCTATATATTTATTTCCCAATTCAGGTATCCTATGTATTTATGGTTGGTATCTACATGAATGTGTTGTAATACATACCCGTGGTGGACCTCATTCTCACATTATGTTTGCTCGTATTACTTGTTTCATTGGTTGTTTATCTGCTCTTGGAATGTCGATGGTTGCTAATTTCCAGGTATCAGCTTCGATTTATATTCTTGTCAAATTTCTTTAACCCATTCATCTGCATTTATATGTGTATATATACAATTGTGGCATTAAGTTGAAGAACGAGTTTATAAAGCACAAACGCTTTTCAAAATTGTGTTGTAAATGAAGGTAAACATTTTAAAAGGGATCAAGACTTGATCACGCATATTTTTGTATGCTATATTACACCTAACACCGATTTTATCTAATGTATTCATTCATTCATTTTTCAAAACCACGCATAAATTGACTTAGTTGATATTAATTGATATTTATTCTTAATATAACAATTGTTTAACAAAAGTTTAATCCACTTTACTGATTTCAATAATTTTTCTGAAGTATTTAACACTTCAAAGGACTCTTGAACCGATCACCGCCTACAACTCGTCCAGAAATACCAACAACAGCGCGTACACAACTACAAGTTGACACCAATCCCCCTACGAAAGCTGAAGTCTTGAATGCAATCAAGCTTCTGAAAGCTGGAAAAGCAGCTAGACCAGATGGAATACCCCCTGAAGCACTGAAAGCAGACCCGGAGACGACAGCAGATATGCCGGCTTCATTATTGCAAAAGGTCTGGAAGGATGGAAAGGTGCCTACTGACTGGAGGAAAGGTCACCTTGTGAAACTACCAAAGAAAGGCGACTTAGGACTCTGCAAGAACTGGCGAGGAATCATGCTCCTGTCGACGCCAAGTAGAATCCTGAGTCGCATCATCCTGGAGAGAATAAGGGACGCACTGGATGCAGAATTCCGACCAGAACAAGCTGGATTTTTAGGAAAGACAAATCATGTTCTGACCGAATTGCAACTCTACGCATCATCATCGAACAAAGCATGGAATGGTAATCAAACCTCTAACTCAACTTTATAGACTTTGAGGAGATCGTGTGAAGAGGAGTTGAAACAGTATGGATTAACATGGACGCAGGTGAAAAGTACAGCAGAAGACAGAAGCAAGTGGAGACGTGTAGTTGAAGCCCTATAATCCACTAGGAACCCAAGGGAATAATAATAATAATTTAACTACTATCTCATATAATTCTCTTGCACATATTACTATAAGAGTTTGAGTTGACTGCTTACAGAAATCTACCGATCAAGTATAAGAAGTTGTCACTAATCTTTTAGTGCAGAGTAGAGAGTTTATTGGTGACTGATGGTGACGATTGAATGCCCTAAATTTTTCATATTAAATGAAAACTGAAATAGAATTATTTCTTGTCGTACTAAAGCTGTAAGCAGTAAGACACTATTCTGCTATTTCTTCTTTCTCTTACTACTAAAAACAGTTATTTTCCATCGATCAAATTTGTTTCTAATGTACATAGACTATAGTTGGCTTCATTCATATGATAATGACGAGTCACCTGAAACATAGAAATTGAAAAAAACAACTGTAAACGAATCTTTATCATCTGACCGCTACAAAAAGAAAAGTTGCAGACATCAAAAGTATGAAATCACTTCATCTACGAAAAATGAATCGAGTGTTGCCGCGAAATTGTTTTCATGCATACAATAAGTGATACAACAAAATATGTTATTCTAACTAACACATTTTCATTTCGATGTGTCACCCTGGAAAACATTAAATATCAAAATAAATTCTGTCAATGTCTATATACGGCAGAGGGTTGAAATGAAAGTCAATACTATGAATGTTTGAATGCTGAAAGGAGAAATTTTGTACTTCAAAATTACTTTTACTTCCTACCAATTACTCCTTGTGATCGTGGAAAATTATGTTCAAATCATTAATGTAATGTAATTCATATTTTTCATCGTTCAGGTTGTAACCAGTTGAGAAGAATCCTCGAAATAATAAAAGATGAGCTCATATTATCCTGGTACAATTGTTGTTCTTGCTTTGTTCAACTTCAAAATTAAATTGATGTTGTTATGTGGACGGGTTAGTTTTATGGAGCACCCGTGAACCTTATTCAACCATTCAAAATAAGTTATTACATCATTAAGCTAGCGTAATTTCACAATTTATTTTTATTCTAATAAGGTTGTCGTTACGGTCATAGGCAAGTTCTTATCTTTGAATATTGTCGTGACTCAGTGTTATAGAAGGCACTGAAACAGGTTATTTGTTTTCGATATTCACTTCTGCATCTTTGTATACACGTATTAGTCTACTCTATCACATATCAATGTATTCTCGCATCAGTTGCAACGGGTATATAGGATTACTGAAAAGTAATGAAGTCTTCTTCATTTTCTGACTCTCATTGACTCCTGGTTTGTTTATGTTTGTATATGTATTAAAGTAGTCACACTTTCAAAGCGCAGAATAATAATGATTTTCAACCTTTTACTAATAACCACATGGTTCATTTAATTTCTTTTGTTTCCACACGTAATTATTGTTGTATCACGTGTAAAGATAATGATGCATACTGTTGACATTCTGAAATTAATTTCATGTAAATAGCTACAGTTTTGTAACATTAACATGAGAGGGAAGTCGACTATTGGGTTGATAACTAGAAGCTGTTTGATTTTTTTATTTGAGACGTAACTTGAAGTAATCCGATGGCTGTCGACGTCTATAACATACAACCATTTGTCTGCCAACCTCCACAAGAATATTTTTCTTAGCATGGTTAAAAAACGATTTGATCTCTGCGTGGTAACTGCTCCTATGCTCATGTTTTAGGAATTGACCTCACCTATTTTATTTTAATACTTTTAGACTAGTTAGGTGGAATCTTTAGAGTGATGAGAGTTTGTCAGTGAAGATTTTAGAAAATCTACCTTAATGACATACATATTCTCATTCCACCAACTTTGAAATTCACAAAGGTTACACGATCTTTAATATTTTACCACTTTGGATTTTTATCCTTTAACCTCTTCAGCTTACGTCCTCTTTCATGTTGTTTCTCATTTTCAGGATTTGTGTACTTGTATTCTGCTTAATTTTCTGTACTGGTCTGTTAGTGCTTGTTTAATCTTAAAGTTTAGTTGAAGTTATCTTTGAAAGAATAAACATTAAGACACTACTACTGATATAAAAGGCAACATACTAGTGTTTATCTTATTGTGCTAGGGATTTGGCTTCTGGCTACGAATAGACGGTCCCGCTTGTTAATTTAATTCAGTCATTGGACGGCCTAACCATAAGACTTAAATTCAGTGTGAAGAGATTCATAATGTAGTTCTATGTGTGGGCGTACTAACGACTAGGAATGAATGAAAAGGTTTAAAAAACTTCATTTTCTATTACTTAATAGAAGCCCGTGTATATTGCATTTAACTTTTAATCCCTTCACATACACGCATTCAGTCTTTTTGGTAAATAATGGCAGTAAAATTCGTGGTTGCATTTGTGTAAAGAATTATTTCATCCTAGTTTCTGGTATATCAAGTTGTTAAACATGCAGTCTTTTTGCTGCACAGTATTGAGTAGTTTTATCTTACGAGTGAAACATCGAAAGCGTTATTTACTATATGATGGATGCTTCAGACGAAATTATTTGCTCATAATCATATAAATATATTCAAGCTAAGCTAAACTACGTAGGTTTATGAGAGGGCATAGAATGCCAGTCCATTCTCTGCCTTAACTTTATCGACTTTGAAAAGGCCGTTGACAGCGTCAGCTGTGAAGTAATTTTGAAACTTCTTCAGTACCACGCAGTACCCCAAATCGTTATGAACTTTTTTCAACAGCTATATGATAACGTCACATGTCAAGTGATTCACAAGAGAAGGTTCAGTTAAGCCTGTGAAGTGCAGATAGGATGAAGACAAGGCTAACTACTATCACTAATGATATTGCTGATTGCGGTCAACTGGATTATTTTGACTGGAAACTAGGTAGTATCTAATGCCATGCGTCTAGTCTTGCGTTTGGTGCAGACTGAGTTCTATCAGTCAACAGACCGGGGAAAGCAAGACGACAGCAGTACGTTGGACGTACCAGGAGACTTCAGAAGATCTGGAATTTGTGGATGACTGATGTCTGTCATACAAACTCTAAGATCTACAGGTGAAAACCAACAAGTTGGTAGAATAATCAGCTAAGACAGAACTTCAAGTGAATAAAGAGAAGGCAGATGTGGTGAAGATACCTATCCAATAATAACTAGGACCAATTACTGTTGACATCAAAATTTGAAGGAATTCACTCCATTCACTTATCTAGGCGGCATCGTTTCAACTACAAGCAGGACAGGTAAGGATTTCAAAGTCAACCAGGATAGGAAAGGAGATACAGACATTCTTGATCTAAAATCACTGTGGGAATTTGTTTCACTTGGCAAAACGAAAAAGATCCCAAAAAGCGTTTCTAACAGTCTACTGCAGACTTTCATCCACAGCTACCTTCACCTGTCTAATACTGGAGACCAGATAGCTAGAAATAATAAGCAACAAAGAACTCTGGCAATGACCCAAACAAGAACGTATTGCCCGACAATCATGAGGAAGGAAATGTATTAGAAATTCACTGAGGAGACTGTCGTGTGACACCATGCACCAGGTCCTAAAATGGAATGTGAATGTGAAATGATCAGTTGGGTTTTCAAAGGTAACATGGAGTAGATCGGGTGAGGAGGAAGTGGGATCTTACGGACAATTGTGGAACCAGCTTAAAAATACTGGAGAAAACAAAGTGAAGTGTAGATTTGTTGCTGAAGCCCTATTTTCCAGTTGAAACTCAACGGAATAGTAATCAATACTATTTAATGGCTGCTGGGTTGATTACGTGGGTCTTTCTTAGCTATTTGCACACATTGGTATGGTGCGAACATGGGAATTCATTTAAATTTTCAGTTACAGACCTATTTGATCTATAAGGAGCCTTATTTATTATCCTACACTTTTTGAAACAATGGTGCAAGGGAATGAATCACAACTGTTCTACTGAATACCAGTAGAGATGGATAATAAAACACTACTTATTATTTCCTCATTAAATAAAAGTGATACAACACTATTTTTCGCAATATAGAAACTTTTTATTTCCACTCTAATCAACAGTTAATGGTTATCTATTTTATGTCGGTTTGTGTAGAAATCTCCTCGAGTGAATGTTCGAAGATTAGAGAAAAGCGACAATAAGAATTGTCCATCAATCATCTGTACTAATTTCTGCTGGAATCTGTGTTCTACCATCAAGTTTCAGTTATAAGTAAGACAACAACCAAAGCAGTCTTGAAGGGTTCCACAGTCGACTACTTTTCATGTAACTTTAAGATATTTTTCTGTATCCTTGTAAATTTTAAGCTAACCTTTTAATTTCCTATGTATCTTTCAATACTGTGTAGCGTATTGTTTAGTCTACATGCAAGTAAATATGGACTGAATTTAAAGTATGTTGTCCATTTCGCTGAAACCATAGACCATGATATTTCTTTCAATAGAGTCAACTAGATACAATGTTATTCTAAACTTTCATGGAACAACATTACTGTTTCTTCCAGATAAATTTTAAGTTAATTTCGACGCTTCATCTGAAGACATCCTCGTAGTTTTTCATATCATGGTCACTACTTTGAAAGATAAATTTTTTACGTTGTAATTTGTGTACTTAATTATACATAAGTAGTTGATTGTATAATTGATAAATTTCCGAAACTTGTTATCAGCGTTACATCAACCACGGATTATTACTTTTTTTATTGTAGGAAGCTACTCTTCTAACCGTTCATCTGATGGGAGCACTGTTGGTTTTTGGACTGGGAAATGTATTCACTGTTTTGGTAACTTATTCTACAAGAAAGCACTTAGAATATAACCACAAGATATTTGTTATACGCGCTACTTTAAGCGCAGTCATTTTGTTGGCTCATATAGGAAGTATGTATTGAGTTTTCTTTTGTTTGAAATTTTGTTTATTCAGTAATTTTTATTTAAAGTCAAGTATATTAGCGACTTTGTACTGTTTCCTAGTGATAGGACTGACGGTTTTTTTCTCTTCTGTTTTGGTGGACACTTGAGATATTAAACTTTTCTCACAACTGTATATTTAGTTTAGTGACTCACAGTTACATTAGGATGTTTTCGCAGTTTTAGGAAGTGTTTATAATCGCATACTGTGTAGTGCAATTTTCGACTGCTTTTAAACTATTTCATCAATTGTGCATCTGTTATTAGACTACAGCTTTAAAACAACGAAAATCTCCCAGTGGTTGAATGGCCAGTGAGCTCGACTTGTAGCCCAAAAGTCCTGCGTTTGACAGTCAGTGGACTCACGAGTGTGCACTGATGAAGAGCCCCAAACAAGGACAAAACAAACTGTCCAGTATTTCTTAGTTTTCATTGATCCTGCAACTGAAGTCAGGACAATAAATTCTGCAAACGATGGATGTATTTAATGGAATAAAAGTAAAACAAAATCAGCTGTTTGTATTTTAATGAGATGAATAAATCAAGAATTGTGAACATCGAAAAAGATATATTCTCACAACTCTAAATAGGTAAATGAAATACACAGGATTATTTTGCATATATATATATATATACAATTTATAAGTATATTTAAACTGGATTAACACAGAATATGATCACACTGCCAAATGACACTCATACTCTTAAGAAGTTGTTATTATTCAAACACACTAGATGCAGTGGTTCGTGTCTTTGATTTTCTTACTTCTTTTTTGTAAAGTAAGATTCCTATCCTAGTTGAATGGATATTTGAAGTAATCTCAGGCAAAAGTAAATATAAACTGACATTCCAAGTACTATAGTGGTGATAATAATATCCAATCACCACATATTATCTAAGAACATTCCACTTATATGGCTGGAAGTCGGAACAATCTTTTTTATTTTCCTGATAGTTATTGGTTAAAATCTTATTAGATAATAAAAATAAATTAGTGTAGGTCTCATACACGTTTAAATTCTCGTAACCAACTTTCCCAATAATTTCGTGAGTATTATATGTCATTTTCACTGAATTTGTTCAATTTATTTTAAAAAGTATGCAAATACTGAATAAATAACTTAGTCACATAAATTAAAAAAATGGGTCCGACGTCATATTGATATATATGTGTAAAACTTGGGCACTGTAGCAGTAAGTAATTCCATATTAGTTTGTTTATTAGATGTATCACACAGTGAAACAGTATTATTTCCTGGATGACGTTTCGAAAAAGATGTATTGTTCATAATCATATCAGTTATAATAACACGACTACGAAACTTGAGTTTTATATTTTTCTTTGTCCTCTCCTACTTGTTGTCGTAGGGGTAGTAGAATTTTCCAGATATCTAGGACAGGTGTTGAATGATTCCCATTACACGTGTTTGCAGTTGATTCGATAAACAAAGCCTCTGTTTTCAATCTCTCCATCCGCCCTGTGATATTAGATTTTAAAACTGTCATCCTATTGTATGGTTGTGTGTAACTGCATGTAGTGCTATAGCTGAGCTATTCTCTAGATCTCTTATCTTATTCGGGTCAACCAATCTAGACTTTGCTAGGTTTTTATGTTCGGCTAGTCTGACTGTCCCCGTTCTACTAGTTTGACCTATGTATTTGACCTGACAATCATCCCAGCAGGGTATTAGATAAACTAAATTGTTTTGTTTTAACGGCTCCACAAGATCCAACATCTAACCGACAAAGTTTGTTTCGAATTGAGTTTGTGTTTTTGAATGCCACTTTTATTCCTGCCCTGTTAAGAATTCTGCGTAAGGTTTCCGAGGTTCCTTCTTTGTATGGAATTACTACTGATGATTTAGATTCCTTATTGTTGGTTTTGTCTTGCGCACATTTGACATGCATGTCGTCATTAATATTATTATTGTAATTATCATTATCACTACTGTTTCACCGTGTGATACATCTAATAAACAAACTAATACGGGTCCTAGGTCAAAATACCATTTCTACCAACTTCGGATAAAATATTGTAACTCATTCTAGAGTTAATACGTCAATCAACGTACAATTGACAGAAAAGTGTCATACTGTATGAATGTTTACCCAGTGTTATATATATATATGTTGTATTTATTTTTTTTCAGCTCTTGTTTTCGGTGTTATGTGTACCTCATTAACTATTCCTTTGCCTAAGAAATGGGATCCAAATGAAAAAGTAAGCATTTTCTGCATCATTTCTATGTTTGAAGTGCACAATTCATATTTTATTGATTACATCAATGAAAAATTATGTGTACAGCAACATTTATGTAGGCGCTACATTTCCGTATATATACATGACAGTTTTTATTTAACCTAACGTTCTGATACGAAGAGTTAAATTTCAGTCATGAGAGTAAAATAGATGATAGCCTATGCATGCATTATTTTTTATCAGTCTTATTTCTGATTTTTTATTGTAAGTGTCATGTGTTAGCTCAATAAGCGTTGTATTAATTTCTTTCACCGATAGTTTGACATCATAAACTAAAACTCTACCTGAACGAAGACTATTTTTTTCAATAAATTCTTTTCAGTCTCTTATTATTATTGTTTCCTTTAATTCCTAGAGAAGCATAGGGCTTCAGTCGTGCGCCTCCATTGCGTTCGGTTCTCTGCTAGAGTCTTCACCTGGCTCCAAGTCTGCCCACACGTTTTCATCTCCTCTTCACATGACCTCCTCCAAGTCACCCTTACACTGACGACCAACTCGCCACTTCCCTTTCGGGTTCCACTCGATCAATGGCTTGTCTAGTGATGTCACTCACTTGATGGTTTCCTCAGAGTATGGACAGCCAATCCATCTCCATTTCTTCCTGAATATTTGTTGCACAATCGGTTCCTGCTGCGTTGGTTCGCTCCCAGAGATCCCTGTTGCTGATCTTTTCTGGCTGGCCATCAGATTTTGAGTATTGAGCGAAGACAACTGTTAATGAAGGTCTGTACTTTGTTTGAGATGCTCTTTATGACGCGCAGTGCAAGTCTCTGATCCGTATAGTAAGTAGCACTGACTGACTTCACATTGGAGTTGAAAATCCGGATCTTATTTTTGATGCTGAGTGCTGTTGACCTCCACGCAGACTTCAGATTAGTGAAAGGTTGTCTTAGTTTTCCGATTCTTGCTTTGATATCCTCGTCAGTTCTGCCTGTAGTTGAAACGGCTCAGGTTCTTACGGCTATAAAATGAAATAGTTATTATTAGAATAACAGTCAGTTATGTGACTGATGCATTTAACGTAGAATAACAGTTCAATTATAGGATGACTAAATAAACAGTATTTGTGCTGGGCTTTATACAACTACAAAATATTGTGGAATGAGAAACACTGATGCCGATTAGTCACAGTAGATTTTTATAGTGTGGGAGAAGTGAAAATTAACAAGTCCTTACATGATTGTAAAACCTGTTTGTTGAGTGGCGAGTACGAAGTAGTATGTGTCAACGGGGGGATACAATAAGACTGCGCTGAATAGTTCATCAAGAATAATGAATATATGAAATTAATGAGGTGGCCTTATGTACTGAATACATAGATACCATCACTAATAATAAATCAAATTAGTAAATGTAGAGAATTCTATAGTATTGGAGAAATACCTGAGGGGTAGGTATAGATTATAAAACATTGTGCCTACAGTTGTTTGGACGAAGAGAGAGAAAAACAAAACAAGAAGAAAAGATAAGTGGAAAAGACATTGATGAAGCGAAGAATAAATCATAATCCAAGTTTGGTCATAGTAAAATTTATGCCTCAGCGTGTTCTTATTTGAATACAAAGTTCTCGTTTAGTCAATCTTATCCCAACAGTTTCAGCTGTATGTAGAAGACACAGGCAAAATGTGTACACTAATCACTTCATAGTGTGGTATATAACTCTAAAAGCCACATTGGCGTTAATGCGATATCTTGCATCTACTAAGTTCTATAGGACTGAGAGTTTTACGCAGAAAAGGTAATTTATTGAAGAGAATATTCGTCATATAAACCAACTTTTGATTAATGATATGAGTATATTTCACAATATGATTCCATAATTGGTTACTTCTTCCTTTTCCTTGTGTGTATTCGTGTATCCTCGAAAAAAGAACCTTGTGCAGAACAGAAAAGGAATTTTCCTTCTTAGTAAATATCTGCATTAAGAAATTGATTTCTTTCAACTGGTAAAACTAGAAACTAAACTTCTCTTTTAATCAGCTAAATTCAAAATAAACAGTTGAAATACAATTAAGCATTACTTTGCTTCACAAGTGTGCTTACATTGTGCCTTCACGAATAGTCAATGCAGTTTTTGATTCTAATCGCTGATTTTTTTGTGATGAATTGTTCCTCTTTTTGTCCACCTTGTTTCTTCAAACTGTCACTCTAATGATATATTAGAGGAATGTACTTTAATCCTCAGAGGTAAAAATGTTGTTTATTCACCTATACGCTTAGTTTACTATCATGAATGCAAAGTACATTAAATTCATGAAAAGATATGTGAAATAATGAATTTGCTGTTGGCTAATTAAAATTCTGCGAAGACCTTAACTTCCACTGAACTAATAAATAGTTGAAACGCTTAAATATTATGAATGCGAATGAAGATTCATAAGAAATCTGCAGAAATGTATGTATGTGTGTATACCTACGCTATAAGTCGGAATGTCGAAAATTCACGGACGACTTCTTTAAAATCTCTTAACATAGCTTAGGTAACTGACACCATGATTTATTTATTTTTTTGCTTCACATTCCCCAGTGGAATATAGGGCTTCAAGCTAGTGGCTTGAAGTTTCTGTAGCAGTGCTTATTTTACAGGATGGGGTTGCTAGCCTCATGCCCAACCTTTCCTCTTCACCAGCGTTATTTCTGGGATAGCGGGGTAAAGGAGTGCGTCGGCCGGGGATCGAGCCCGGTCCATGTGCACGGTCGGCGAGCGTCCTAACCACTATACCACCGACGCAACACCATGACGGTAAATGTTTAATGTGACTATAGTCTAATCAACCTCTCTGAAATGCTAAGAACATTGCAGTCATAGTAGCTCGTTCAGTCATTACGAGATACAAGCGTAACTATTACCGGTCACGTACTGATCTTTCTTCTCCATAATTTTCTCTTATGTTATATTTTTCTAGATGTTTAGACTTATCTCCTATGCCTACATATACTTAAACTTGAGTCACTTAATTATTTTTCAGGGGTACATATTTCATGCGTTGAGCAGTACATGTGAATGGCTAATGGCCTTTTCATTTTTATTATTTTTCGCTTCAATGTCTATGGAACTGAAAAATTACGTATTAGAGCCAGTTAAAGTAAGTTCATGAAATCTTTTTTTTTCTCTTAAGATATTAGGGAATTTCCTACAGAATATATTATCACTGGAAGTAAATGTATGCGTTAAGTTACATGGGACAAATAGGACATGAAATTCAATTTTTATTTTATGAATCTCACTACATGTCAGAAAGCTATATTTCCATGCCAGTACCTCTTTTAATATTCAATTAACAGAGTAATCAGAAGTGTTTTCAATCAAATTATGAGTCGACATTCAATCACCTGAAAAAATTCCTATACGTAAAAGTGCTAAGGTGAAAAGATTAACGACCACAAGTTTGAAAATCACAGAAATATATATCCTACAGCTGAATTCGATAAATAAAAGGTATACGCAGTTTTTATGACCAGAACTACGATCTGTTAGACTACGAGCGAATAGTAGCTTAAGGCGCTGGCCAATCTGTCCTAATCGCACGTCAACTACAACAATAACACCGCCGGGCCGTAAAGATAAAAGAAAAGACTGGATATTGATAAGAGCGCTTTCACTGTCTCAGAAAAACTGTCTGAAAAGGCAGACAACGCTTGCGTGCATTCACGTTTAAAATGACCTTGAAAAGCAATAATGTCACTGATAAATTAAGATAGCGAACAACCAATAGGATTTCAAAGGTCATAAGTTAGAATAACAGAAAATCAGGTTATAAATCAATAAGTGGGGTGAGAGTAATGTAAACAGACACGTAGAAATGACATGTAGAAAATTAGACCCATGTATCAGCAGTATAGTGCTGAAGTCTTGAAATCTTCTCATTAAGTAATTTATCTACTGCAAGCTGTTTCCAACCAATAATAAATATTCAGATGACAACAGTGAGTAAGAATAGGTTTTATGTACCAAAGATTCAATTTATTTAACTTATAAAATTCAGGAGTTGTAATTCCGTTTTGTAATAATTTTGTCATCTCATAGTAAACTGGAATTTAGCCGAATATTTTCTTGGATCCTCATTAGTAGTTCATAGCCCAGTTGTTAAATTGATATAAGAAATCAGACACTTTAACCGCTGAATTCGCCTTACTACAGTGGGTTACACTATATGTAGTCTACACAACTTAAAATAAAGTGTGCATTCAATTCGATATTAGTATTGGATATTGTTTTAAAAAACGAGTTTCAGACTATTGATTATTCTCTTCCCAATAAAAACAGTCGAGAAGCCTACCCTATCCCTTGTGGTTTAGTCTGATATCATTTATTGGGTTGTCTATTACTAAGTAAATACAAGACTAATCTCGCCTGAGCTGACATTACTAGTCCATTAAGACGACACCAGGTGTCACGTAGTACTTTATTTGCCATCACAATTGATGAAGTCTCACGAAGTCACTGACTGATATACCTTTTTGAAATGAAAGTTAGGAGGTGTGAATATAGATTACGACAGCCTTAGAAACAAAATTACACGGGATTGTAGCGAATTACAGGTGTATAGAAGATGAGCATGGAAACAAAATTGAAATAATAATTTTAACTTCAAATGGAAGTTAGGAGGTGTGAACATATATTAAGAGAGCCTATGAAACACAAAAATTGCACAGGATTAAGGTATAATTGTAAAATAGTTATTTTAAACGAATTATAAATGTGAGCAGGAAAAGCGTGGAAACAAACTTAAAATAACTTTTTATAACTGAAAAAACGGGGGGAAGCAAATGAAGACAGAGGGAGTAAGAATCCCACACACAGCGAACGAAAAAAATCAAAACAAATCGGAAGCTTTGGGAACATATCGAACTAGGTCCATGGTAGTTGTAGAGGTTGGACTTATTTCTTCTGAACACTGCTCCGTTTTCTCGATGGATATTGCGAGGGCTTCTGCAGTACAGAGAAGTCAGAAATATACTGCTTCTGGTAGGTTTCTATTGACTTTGTAAATTACTTTGAAAGAATCAGTTGAGATGTTGTGGGAAGTGTTGAACAGATGTTCAGTAATGGCACTTCTGATTGAACCGGTGCCTTCTCTTTGCAGCCACGCTGGGTAATATTCTCTAACACGTTTTGAAAGGACACGCATACAACGACCTATGTACCTAGCTCCGCACAAGCAGGTGAACTGGTATATGCACATTGAATTGGTCATATGCGAGAGTTTGTCCTTTGCTTTGTTTCGAAGTACTGGACGGCTAGAGAATGTCACTCTTAGTGTTGCTGCAGGGAAGGTCTTCTTTAAAGAGCTGGATATTCTCCTCTTAAGGATATTGGCTGCCAAATCTCCCCTGAAAATCAGATTCAGATATAGCGTTTCCTTCGGCGCTGAATCGCATTCTTCTCTTTTTGGTTTAGGTTTCATGTTCTTTTCGACAAAACGTGTTGGGTAACCATTTTGATATACCTAACACTACGATTAACTTCGTTATTACCAATCATCTTGCCCCACCCTATTTGAGGAACTGTTCATCAACCTGAAAAAACAATATTTTTTGTATGTACGTATGTAAATATATGCAGTATATTCACTAACGTTCTAAGCGCCCACATGACTGTTTGAAGATACAGCCTAAACTCTGAGTCTTCCTTAGCCAAATCTACACTAAACATGTGTGGTAAAAGTGATAAAACATCAATATGGCAAATACGACGAGTATTATCACCGATAAAATGAAAGGATGAAAAGTGATTGAAATATGTAAACCGAACCTGGAATTTATGTCAGTAACTTGATAGAACCCTGTGGAATCAGTTCTGATCCAAAGCCTATTAATAAATAAGTTTAACTATGTCCTTATGTGCTATACCAAATAAAATTATTCCATCAATGGAGTTATATACTAACACAGTGGCTAATTCTATTCTGGAAAATTCTCCGTTCTCTTGATTGTGATTTTAATATTCATTGAACGAATTAAAATCCGACACTTAAATAGTATGAACTGTCTTGGGACATGGCGTCTTATAAAAATACGTTTATCAAATCCACATTTTTTTAATTTGAATCAAAATTAAAGGTTACATTTCCTCGACACAGCTGTAACCATAGAGTACTATCTATTTTGCACAGATAAACTAACAAGATCAATACTAATCTCGACTGATGACTGCTATAAACACTACTGAATATTCTCGCTTGTTTTAATTAAATGTTTCTTCCACTAGATACGTAGCAGACGTACGGAACCGGAAATCACCGAAGAGACTGCCCTTCTTACTTGAAGGTATCTACTTTTATCTTCAGCGTTCATTCAATCTCTTTCAAACGCCTACAAATAATGATCTCATCGCAAAACACCGGTCATCTTCGCTTTTTTTCAGACTTGCATATTTTGTGATTTTATGTATGTTCAATTTCTTAACAACATCCTGATTGTATCAAAAATTAAAGTAAAATTTAAAAAAATGAACATTTCGATTGTTACAAATGTAATTTGTACCCCGCTAAAAGTATATCTAGTATGCGTGTGTGAAAGTAGTATGCTTACACCAATTTTAATAAAAATACCAAGTTAACAGAAATGTGAAGATGGTATCTAAAATGTATTCATCAGTAGGTGCATAGGCTAGAAGGTGTGGAGCCATGGAACTCGACTCATAGCTAGTGCGATCTCAAGTTCAGTCGTACTCTGCGTTGTAAACTCTAGCATAAAATAAATGGTTAGATTTTAAGTCAGTAGACGATTAGTCGTACTGTGTTTGTGATAAGTGAGAATTGGGACATAGAAGAATTGCTGTCACTTTTAAGTAACTGGGTAGCAATGATATTATAGCCTACAAGGGTTGGTCTTACACATGCTTCGTACGGTCTCAGGAGTGAGCGCGGCTAACGGCTTATGTGTAAAATGTGACACTGCGTAAGCCCTAACCACACCCATCGGGCAATTCACACTTGTATCCAGTTTTTCTTTTAGAATGAGGCCGGAGTCATGGTCTGACGTTGCATCGCATAGGCTTCCACCACAAAGGGAGCAGTAAGCTCTGTCAGTCTTTTAGGTATGCTGCTGCATCACTTTGCATATTTTAGGTTGAAAGGCATGTCATTTATCTTTGCCAAATCTTCCAGAGTATACAGGTCCCCCAGCAAACTATCTGAGTCTTCCCAACGTTTATGTTACCCTCCAAATCTTTGTCATCAGAGTAAATAAGAGTCATCCAGTTTAGATGGTATGGCAAATCATTCAGGATCATCAGGGGCTTTTGGATAAAACCCCGCGAAGATCTCTAAGCTTTGAGACGATGACCGGACACAGCTACCTTTGGTACATCACCGTCTTTTGGCTAAGCAGTTCACCAACCATAAGAACACAGAGCGCCAGTACTTGCTTAACCTATTTTGTTATGGGAAATACTTTGCTAAGCCGTGTGAGATCAAGGAAAATCGCATGGACTTCGACATTCATATCCCAGCATAATTTCCAGTCTCTCCGTGAAATAATAGGCTTGCTTTACAAGATTACGCACTTCTGAAAGGACAGCCTGCTTTCTGATATGCATTGTTCTAGTCAAGGTTTCCCCTGATATGGTCATCAGTCAGGCTTTTCAATACTCTCGATACTACTAGAAGCAGTACTACTGGTCTATAGCCCATTGAGTTTTGCCGATACCCATCCATGAAAAAAGGGTAAACGATGGCTCTTTTCCCACTCCACAGCCGGCTTTTCTAAATCCATGGAGTGTTATAATAGGTAACACAAGGGCTTGTAGACAGCCTCTATGAATTGTTTTAGAATTGACGGTAGAATATCATTACAGCCTATGTACTTTCCTGGCTTAAATGAAAGTAGTTTCACCGGGAAAATTGTAGGGTTAGTGTTGACTGTACACATTCGGATTTCTCCTGGTGATCTAGCAAAGCGACACGGTTCCTTTTATTTGACGATCTTGGGCCGAAATGACCATCTCAACCATTTTCCTGCTAGTGAGATACTGATCACTTAGACCTTGTTGATAAGCTTTCTTCCCAACACTGATCGGTATATACTGTTAGGGTTCGCCAGGAGTTAACTGGCAGCTTTTACATGAAATAAACCTGTCACTGTAGATCCTTGTTTTGCATCAGTCATTGAGTTAAAAGAATAAGTCATAACCAGTGTAAATACTGAAGAGTCACCATGATTTCCTGCTGAGTACACTCCATGCATATCTTAAACCAGCAGGAATGCTTCCTGGATTTTATTTTGGCTAGAAGGACAGTTTCTGAGACTGTAGAATGAACAGCCCCTGTTACTGTTTCCCGATTTCTATCTGTTTATACTTCAGCCCAGTTTTAGAATCATCCTGCTCGAGAAAAACGTTTTCGCATTTTGGTGTAGTAGGTTTTTTATATTGCAGACAAGGCGCTCACAAAGAACCAGATCAAGCACTTTGGCCACATAGTCAATGCAATCTAGAGGGGTAAATATGTGAGTGTTTTCGGTTCGCAACTGGTCACCAGTCAGGATATAATACAGTTTTGATGAATTCCTACTAGAACCAACCCCACTATCATCACAAACGTTCTCTGCCGATCCAGCATTTCCACTGGTGTGTATCAGATATTCATCGAATTCTCACAGAAAAACACATGGCTACAGGTCAAGGGATAGGACACTGGGGACCTTAGCTGTAGTGATTTGGTAATAGCCTAGGCTCTAAACATTTGCTTACTGTGTTGCTTCCCACAGGTTGGTGGTTTGTAGTCCAACCCAATAAAGTTTTGGTGTGGCCGACGGCCAGACAGCACTAGTTGTGCATGGTGATTTGATAGGAGGTGAGTCTGTTATTCGCATAATTCCCAGCTGCCCGTTGACATACACGTCGTCTCTGACGCCTACTTTACGATCCTTGTCCCACCTCAATGGAACCCAATCGCTCACACTGAATTCCTTGTAGGCAATAATTCCAGTTATTAAAGATTCCACCATTATTATTTTCAGATGTCATAGTGGAACCGTAGGTCTATCAGTTCGATTATTTTACCCATCAGTCATCTCATGTTGCTACATAGACAACTGGTTGTGAGTCTCTTAACCCACTTCGTTGCGGGGGGGCGAAATAGGGATAGCTACAGGGTGAGAAGTTAATGCTAAAACGCCGGTTCCAATGGAACTTACCTGCTATCGTCGTTTTCCCTAAGTTCAATTAACCCACTTGTGTGCACTGTTTGTCACCTCCCTCGCTGTTGCACCTCTGTAATTCAAACACGATGTGGGGAGATTCCGTAACCTCAGTTTGCTGCTCTTTCAAGGTTTGCGGTTAGTTTTCGTGTCTGCCGATTCTACCCTTGATCACCTGCCAAGTCTGATGCACCGTAGCCATTTTCTGCTGGAAGCTCAATTAAATAATCGGCAAAAGTGATGACATGACTGATAGGGCGGTCTTTGAATTGTCCGAAAAACCAAAGGCTAGGATAATCTTGCCCACTTCTGTACTTCTTTCATGTATTTCTTCCATGAACTAGATTTAGATCTGCATACTGTTGTTGTCTTTTTAATTAAAGTCTCGCATTTCATTTCGGTTCTAGATATAATTTACATCAACAGTATTAGTTATCATCTCTACACAGTTTTTAATAGCTTGCAGAGAAAATAACTCTTTGGAGCTCAGTCATCGAAATCTAGGTTATGTGATTGCTTACCTTTGTCAAAACACGACCAACCAAAGAAATGTCTTTTTCAATTTCATACATACTAAAATCTGTAATACTTGTGTCATTACTTGGTGAACACTGAATAATATCCAATGGCCTCATCTAACGGAACTTGTTTTACTTTCGTTGGAGGCAGCAGTCTGTGCCGTAGCCCTTACCGTTTGTTTGTTGGCAGAAGACCAGAGCATCACGATAAGCAGTATTGATGTGCATTATTTTGACATTTATTTGTAGATTTTTTCACCGTATTTATAGTAAGCAACTGTAAAGTCGATGATCAAGTTTCTGTATAAGTAACTCCTCTAGAATGGTTCAGTGTCGGTAGAGATTTAACTCCTCTATGTTTCCGTCTGTAATCTATTACCAGTCGCACTGAAATTCACTTAAGCAGTGGTATAATTCCAGTAGGCCAAAAGACAAATACACAGAGAGGACAGAAAATCTCACTTGTCAGATTAATTCATATGTTCTTCTGATAAATAGAAACCAACAGAAATAATGTTTGAACAACACGGATGTAGAAATATTACATCTCCAAATTTGCTGCATGTCAAAAGCCTTCTTGTATTTCCAGCTGAAAGTGAGTGTTTTGCAAGCTTACCACCGCATTTGATCTGTTCTGGATTATTTTTTTCGAAACAATTGTTACTTATACTTGTATAAATTTCAACTTATGTATTTGTTCGTTAGCAGCTGTCAACCACCTCGCATCTTTTTCAGTGAATCCCACAATGTGTGACGTAAAATAAAACAAGTACACAATTTTACAGGGTATATGTGGTGGAGGAAAGCATGGGCAGCGTTGCAAGGGAGTGGTGGTTTCCGAAATGTCTACATTTTTGAAAAACCAAAGGGCAACTGCTAGAGGAAAGTTGCTACCGCTGATCAACACGAATCGCACAATCATTCATTGCTGATTATTGATAAAGAGATCAGGACCTCGTTACTGGGGGATACACTGAAAGGCCTGAGCGTAGTTCCACCGGCGTGCATGGTATTTGACTAACTCTGAGTCGTGGAAAACGACCGTTTGAAAGAGTTATTTTATGTGAAAGCTTCACAAGTCCTTTAAAGTTTAATAATGCGCACATCGAAAGTGGCTAACTTTTCTGAAAGAATGAGACAAAATACGCATACCTTATGATATCAACACCATGATTACAACTACGCACGTCACAGAAACCAGTGAAATATACCAAAATCTTCGTCCGGAATGATGGCTTAGGGAAACAGCCACAAATATCTAATGAATGAACACACAAGACGACACGTATCAGGGAAGATCATCGAAATCATCACCAGTGATAAGCTAAAACCTGTGGGAATCAAAAGTTTAGGATGTCGCTCATGTGAGATAGCACGAATTTTGAAGGGATGAAAACTTCTGGCTACTAAGTTTCGGTAACTTTAAGAAAGGTGATTATACTTAAAGATATTTTTCGGTATAAATGGTGCTAAAAATGCATGTAAGTCGGACAGATAAAGATGGATCGCTTCTGTCATGGTTGCAGGACCACCTGGTTGCAAAGAAATTCTGCACTAAGGTCAGTCGAATCCGGACATCTTCGCACAGCTTGTCATCAGGAGTGGTGCAGACTCTATCCTAGGGCCACTGATTTTTTTTTGGTTTTTATCAATGAACTACCATGCCGTCTAAGCTGCCCGACTCTTGTTTACGTTGACGATATGAAGATATGGAGAGTAATAAAGTGTTTGAGGAACTTATATAAGCTACATGCAGACCTGAAGCTTCCAGAAGACTGAGCTGTGGCCAGTGGGATGACTTTCAAACTGAAAAAGTGCAAAGTTGTGAAATTACACTCCTGTAGGCTGCAGAATGCAAGTTACATCCTGTGCAACGAGATCCGGTCCTGTACAACGTCAGAGCGCGACCTAGGTATAGTTTTAAGGGAATTACACGGGGGAAGTATCGACGGCATATGCGGTCAAATACTTTACACATAGATAATTAGGCGCATTCACTCCTGAGCTATTTCTGAGGTTGTGCAAAACATACATCAAACCACATCTTAAAGAGCATAATATTATTGCACTCGCACTGCTTAGAAAGGACGCTAAGTCCTTGGAAAGAATTCAAAGACAGGCAACAAAAGGAGTGGTTGGTCTCCGAAATAAACCGTATGGTGATAGGCTAAATAAACTAGGACTATTCACACTTAACTACCGTCGGCTTAGTGGGGGGACTCGATTACTGCCTATAAGATAACAAAAGACCAGAATCACTCAAATAAATGTGTTCTGCCATTGAGCAGGTATAGGCTCCCTCGTGGAAACCCTATTAGGATAGCGTATCATGCGGCAAGGACCCGGGTGTGCTTCCACTTCTTTTCACTGCTGGTTTGCCGTCTACGGAACGCCTCACTCGCAGATGTGGCTATGGCATCATCTTTGGAAAGCTTTCAGCTAAGGCTGGACAGTCATGCAGCAACAAAAAAACTGCACCATAATGGTCTATCCCCTTTAAATCCCACACAATATTCAGCGGGTAGACATCTAAATTCTTTCCATTCTCTCCTGTCTTACTCTCTTGACTACTCCAACTACTCCACTTACACTTATTAGAATTGTTATTGTTATAACTGATATTGTATACATATATATTTATACATGTTTACATATATGCATATACATTAACTTTAAATTTAATCAGCTGTCTGTTTTTACGTTTCCGTTATTTCTTTTTTGTCTCTTAGTCTGAATAATCTACACTAATTTTATCCGCAATAATTATTATCTCCTTTTTGACTTTGACGACGACACTGGTGAACTAACTGGTAAGAGGATCAACTGTATGGACAGTAGCAACAAAGTCTTAACACACCGCATAATACAAGCAACATACAATTAATCCCCGGCACCACTCCTTTGGAGTCAACCAGAGCTACGACAGTCAAGTGGTGGGACGAGTTGCGTATAAATTCACCTAAGGAAACAGGCGGAAATAAATTAAAGTGATTTATACAAGCTCGTAAAGACGATATTGGATACTTCTCATGGATTATCCTCTAACTCACTGAAATATTACTAGTGATTTTCGCAGTCTGCTGCATCACACAGCAACAAGATGATACCAAAAGAACAGAAGAGATTACGTTTTGCTGATAAATTCCTTCATAAAGTGCAGAAATCATTGTTTTCATTTGACGGCAAACTGTTTTGTTCACTGCAATAGAAATGTAGCCTGCAGTCCAGCGATATATGAACTTCAAGGTTATTTCAAGGTTTTTGGAGTTTCCGCTTCCCACGGTTCTAAAACAAATTCCAGGCATTTTTAGTCGTAAAGGTTTTTGGGTCACTTGGACCTTCTGACTTTTCACTAAAAAATCCTGTTTATCTATACATATGCAATAAAAGCCAATTTGTTAGATATTTTCGGAGAGAACAGTAAGTTTGATGGGAGGAACACAAAAGTATGAACCTATACTAGAAGTGGTATTTTTATTTAGCAGCCATTTTCACGGCACTTTATACACCCCATTCTCGCAGAACTTCACAGATGCTTGCGTTGTATTCGACACTCAGCTTCAGAATGTTTAAATTACCACTTATCTGGGAAATAAGCAACTTTGTTTGGGTTAGAATCAACCACAATAGAATATGAAGACGTGCTTCTCACATATTTACCTACTTGTAATTTGCGTTACTTTTAAAGGAACTAATTTCACCCTCAAGCTTTCGAGTTGAAAATTGGGTAATTCATGGTACATTATACTCACTTTTTGACTATGTCTGAACCGACCAGAATTGTCTATTTTTCACGCGTTTTTCCCACTTTTCCTATATGCATTGTCTAAATACTAATGAAGTCCTACATACGTTTACTCCTACCATTCATATGTTCATGAAATCATCCTACTTCCTTAAGTTAGCAACACTTCATTACAGTTCTCAGAATCCTGTGAAAGCAGCTTTGAACACTGAGAGGATAATGTTTTGCTCACTGGGTGTTTCAGTATTGTGTACCCATAAAGTCTCCTAAAGTTGTGTGACTTACTAATATACTAATAATGTGAGTTCTGTAAGTTCTAAGTTATCTTAGAATGAACAACACTGTACTATCGAGTATGTGACAGGACTGTATTTTATTGTCATCAGACATCTGATGAGAAGTTTCTTGAATAATATGTCTTTATATACTAAATGTAACTGCGTATTCACAGAACAAATGTTTATAATGTACGATATTTTCAATATATTATATCAAGGTGATATGACTATAAGCAATAGATTTCACTCAAAATGCCATCAGTAAATAGATAATTTTGCATCGTGTTTTATCAGGTAAAATTATTCTTTTATAGAATCATACCCTAACACGATGCCCAAATTCTATTCTTATATTTGTTGGTTACATTGAAGTAGGTTACTCAGCAACAAGTAATTACAAATCTCATTGAAATCTTTTTGATGTTTGATGTGCAAATCTGCATATAAGTTAAAGCTATCTTCATGTTTGTTTTGATATCATTATCCTTATCGTAGTGTCCCCTTTGACTTTAAAATTACAATTTAGGCTTAGTAGCTTACACAAGCACTATATTAGACGAAAATGCATTGCATCAATATGAGCAAAACAGTTACATTCAAAAAAGACTTCCTAGTTTAAACTTGGGGCAGCCATCTCTACTCTACCTGTTTATTACATTTACTTCAGACTTATACAATTATTATCACTGAACTGAGTTAAACACAGCAGGTAAAAATACTGACCAGTGGGAGAAGCAAGTAAATTATTCGAGTTCACTTCTGGAGATTTCATCCAAAAATTAGTGAAATCAAGTATATGAACAATTTCCATGGGTATTAATATGTTTGGCATTTGTAGTTGTGGCTACTAACCTAATAAGGCATCAGTACTTTCACTATGGTTATTAAGAAAAGTAACGAAGGCTTTCATGAATATTGGAGTTTAATCAAAATGTGACATGAGATGTGTAAGGGCTAGAGGATTTTCATCAGAGGTTGAGGAATAAACGACATTATTCTGATAATCATATATGAACAGGTAGTGCATGGAAGTATGATGTAGCCCTTAAATTTACAATGTTTTTCTTGGTTTTATTGCATTATTTCCTCGGTGGATTCAGATTTATTTATTCAGATTTATTGGTTGAAGATAGAAGGCTTGGAGCCTATGTTAATCCTTTTCTAGTAAATTTCTGTGGTTGTCCAAACCCTTCTTGAATGAATTAGTTGAGGTTGCAGATACCACTTCTTCTGGGAGTCGGTTCAAAGAGTTTATGACTCGATGTGAGAACCATTACTCAACAGCAGTATGATTTCTTCTCGGCTTTTGAACTCTCCTGCTATGTCCTGTAAGGTGTTCCGACCTGGTGGGAAGGAAAAAAGAGAATAGGTCACGTCTGTAGTCATTGTGATTAAATCTCCTCTCTGCCTACGGTATGACAGGGAGAAGAGATTTAAACTGTCTAGTCTTTCTTAGTATGATAAGCTAGTCATGCCGAGAACCATACGTGTTGCATTCCTTTGGACTCTTTCTAGAATGTGTGAGTCCCCTTTAAGACAAGGACTGGCTGTCTGGATACACTTTTCCAGTCTTGACCTCACCAGAGATTTCGGTCAAAATTTGTTCATTCTAGAGTTTGCGAAGCTTCGGTGACTACCATTGTTTGCATCATTTGAAGATTATCAGCATTCCACTTACATGTTTGAAACCATTGCAAAGTATTTAGCAAACGACAAATTAACAGATAGTTATTGTTCTTAGGTTCTAATGCTGTATTATTTAATAGTACTGACGTTTAGTTGCTGTGATAGTCAGTTATTCATAAGTAGCAGAACAAAGTTATGTTTTATTTTCAGTAAATGCATTAAATGTTTTCATTTATATAATTTAGTCATTTTAGATAAAGAAGTTGCGCGATTAGGAGCAGTTGAATCCAATGCTTTTTTGTCCTGGCGGAGTAGGGCTGCATTTGCTACCAATTCTAGCATGTGTTCTCACTTTAGTGGCAATTGTAACATGGTAGGTGAATTTTTCTTAAAATTTCCTCTACAACGCCTTTCTTTTGATCATTTTGTTTTGTTTTGATTACTGTATAAATATGTGATTTAAAAACTTGACCATCAGTCAGTGAACTACTGGCTTATTATCTGCTATGGTCTGTTTAGCATTGGCAGGTGAATAGCGTTTGTAGCTCTCACTGTAAGTGAAGCTCACAGTCTAGTACCCAAAAAACTCCTAATTGGAAAACCGAATCACTACCAGTAGTGTGTTAATTTTGACACTATTAACCATTTCCCACTCTGTCGTAGTACCTTTAGGTTGAAAGTAACGTTGTTGCATTTTATACTGCAAGCCTTCATAATGTGTACGCTTGTACATATAACATTGTTTGTAATTTCAGTAACCAATGAACACCATTCTATAAGCTGTTGCACCATAGTTTGCATATCATTTTACGTACCAAACAGATGGTTAGTTTCAGTAGTTAGTTTAATAAAGTTTTCAAACAGATTCATCGTTGACTGATTTACAAATTTAACCCTCAACTAGAGGCTTACATATTCAAACATCAATTTACTATTGTCGGCTGAACAACAAGTCAGCTCTATTGGGTTTACCACATTGGGTGTACTTCAGAAACTGTTACACAACTGTTGTTTGGATTCGGTCATCCGAAATAAGTATTTCATGTACCAAAAATATAAGACAAACTTACTGCGTCAGAGCTATAGGCACTGCCTAGTCTGAATTAGGCCTAACGGGATTTAAACTCCGAATCGATTGGTTGGAAGTCAAGTACCAAGGATAGTGAGACACATGAATACCGAGTTATATATAATTTTTAGTTTTGGGTTGTGTTTCTTATTTCGTAGGAATATACCAGAATCATTATTTCTGTGTATCCATCAATCCTGGATTTATTCATTTGTTTGGAGACAAAGATGTTTCAAACTGGTGACTCTTGGAAAATTCCATTCATCTCATGCTCACATTATTGTGATCTGAGCATGTTATTTGGTCATTGTGAATGAACGACTAGGTGGTGGCCGTCAATATGTTAGTAGGTATCTTGAGGCATGCCGAACTAAGGAGTCTTTCGATTGACTACATAGAATAATATTATAAACATATAATGAAAATGTTGCTCTGGTAGTTGGAGCCGCAATGTAACTATAAATGTCAATCTCAGAATGAATCTCAGATGATCATTTTAATAACGTGGACAATTAAAAGCCACTTTTAAACAATTTGATTTTTATGGAGAGAAGTGCTCGTTACTAGTCTAGTGAATTCGACCGATAAGCCACATAACTGCATTTACACACATTTCTTTATGGTAAACGTACAGAATGTATTGACTAAAGTGGTTAGTCAGCCAATGCAACACGAAGAAAACCCAAAAAATCATTTTCATCTAAATCAATTAAATACAAAATGATAATTGTGAACAATGAGTTCTGCCCAAAATGCAAGAGAAATCATGAAAGTTAATAAGTTCCCATGAGCAGTTGTGTGATAGTGACTGAGCATTTGAAATATCGGATGTAATCAGTAGAAGCGTAGAGGAAAGATGGACGAATACTACTTGAAGAGATGAAGAAAACAAAGTGAGAGTGGGTAGTTGTCAAACACCAAAATGAAACGTGAACTTAGTACCGAGATAACAGAATTAGCTGCATTTGTTTCTTTTGTGTGCTTACAACAGGCTTCTCTGGGTGGATGATTAATGCTTCTACAATCCAAATATGCGAACTGCTGCTATCTTTTGGAAGCTATTTGTTTTATAAATAAGCTTAAATACCATGTCCTTTGAGGCTGTGATCAAGAATGAGAATATGTTCAATTATGGCAATCGATCCACTAACACCCCTTGGCAATACTGTGAAATTATGTACCTTAACTTACTTTGACAAAATTAGTACCAAAGGGCATACATCCCACTTCATGGGAGCATATACATATGAAATTGGTCAAATGACAGGATGTCTTTTAAGTTGTTGAAGAACATTGGGCTACAAGAGCATTCCAGTCTCATTGATGATTTGAAGAATATCATTTTAAGAAAAATCCAAATCTCTTTCCTCAGAATATCAACAAGCGGTTCATCTTTGAAGCCTACGTCCATATACACTACCGTTTCAGTGGACCTCACATTTTTATCAGTAAAGTGTTAAGTATATCTGATTTCAGTCATTGTTTTCCTCAGAAAATCTTCACTTGTAACACTTTGGATTCACTTGAAATGTGTCGTATTTTGTATTTTATTGACGAATAATTATTAGATGTATGTTAATTCTGTCTCGATATTTGCATTCAATCCATTCAAATGTCAACTTTCTGAATCGCATATTCACAATATTCTGTTTTGTCTCGTTTGACATTTGGAATATGACGTATTTGAACTGCAAACAGAAAACTGATCTGTAAATTTCTGCAAGTAGATTTGATATATTAGCCGTCAAGTTTTCTCCCAGTCTTAAGTTGGATTTATCAGTAGTGGTATGAACGCCACCTTTCCACTATAGAACATTCACTATCATAATCTTTTCAGTCTTAAAAGTTTAATTTATATGTTAAATCTCACTCACAATTTACAAATTAATTAAATTTAATTCAACGTATTACCAGTTCGCCCAAGTGTCTGACCATAATTTGGATAGCTTCAACTGATTCGATTCTCTGAACTGTGAGTGGTATCCAACTACTTGTATCAACCAATTAGTAGTATATAGCGTCAGGCATTTAACCTAGACATGTTATCTACTCACCGACTCAAAGTTTCTGGTTTATTATTTAATCTACATCTATATTTTGAGTTAATGCTCACATATGATACGTCAGGCCATAGTGCAACTCCTAACGTACTTTACTCTGGTTCTATCCTTTCCACATTAAATGAGGAAGTAGGCGGTAGAAATTAATATAAACCTGGAAGCGCCTCGGTTACCTCTCACCTATCCGTTGATTTTAAGTAGTTGCTTTAAAATTTTGTAGACAATATTCAAAAGTAATGTAGAGTCTTAAGCACCTAAAGCCATTAAATGAGAATGAAACTTTCATTTACGTAGTTGATAGATAGTTGGATAGATCTCATGACGAACATGCCGCATTCATTGTTTCGTTTCATGAAAATGTAGTATTCTAAAATGAGGGAATTTAACCTGAACTGATTCAAGTGTTTGTTGTTTTCTCTTTCTGTAGTTACTTCATGTCCCTCAAACGTGATCATATATCTCCGTATTTCCCTTACATCAGGTGAGTTAATTTAAATTAACGCCTCTTATTTATTTATAATTTTTTCAATTTTATTCCCTTACGTTCCTAACGGAACGTATGGCTTAAAATTAAAGCTTTGAAGTTTCCGTAGCAGTGGTGTTCACTTCTACGGGGTGAGATTGGTAGCCTTGTGCCCAGCCTTCCCTCTTCATCGGCCTTATTACCTACTTAGCGAGTTATATAGATATAGACACACTGAGTTCTAATGATCTAGGCACAACCCCCTGTAATACTGGCTTTCAACTAAGTGAACCATTACTTGTTGCAGCTATAGTGACTTTCGACACAAGATCTCACAGGATAGACACGTGCATAATATTCAATGCTTTAGACATTTAAATTAGTTAATAAGGATAATGAAGTCTGAAATTAAATATAGCTTGGTTGTTTATTATCAGCATCGTTGCTTTTGAGTTTCGTTCCACATGTGTGTGTTGAATATTTTTTGTAATATCTGTAAGCTATCACACTTTGATTATTACTATTATTGTTCCCTTGGATTCCTAGTGGAACATAGGGCTTCAACTACACGTCTCCACTTGCTTCTGTCTTCTGCTGTACTTTTCACCTGCATCCATGTCAATCTATAGTGTTTCAACTCCTCTTCCCACGATCTCTTCCATGTCACCCTTCGACGTCCCACTCGCCGCTTCCCTTTCGGGTTCCACTCGAGGGCCCGACGCGCGATGTCACCCAGCGGCCTCCTCAGCGAGTGTCCAATCCATCTCCACTTTCTGCTGCATATTTGTTGTGCGATGGGTTCTTGTTTTGTTTGTTCCCATAGTTTCTTGTTGGTGATTCTTTCCGGCCATCTGATCTTCAGTATAGAGCGAAGACAGCTGTTGATGAAGGTCTGCAACAGGCTGTTGGAAATATTCTTTGTGACCCGCCAAGTTTCTGATCCGTATAGAAGAACTGACTGACTTGACGTTTGTATTGAAAATCCAAATTTTGTTGTTGATGTTGAGGGACGAAGACTTCCAGATTGGTTTCAGGTTGATGAATGTGTTTCTCGCCTTCCCGATTCTCGATTTGACATCCTCGTCCGTTCCTCCTGTAGTTGAGACAATACTCCCTAGATAAGTGAATGAAGTAACCTCTTTCAAATCCCTCCCATTGATGGTGATTGGCGCTGGATGTTGCTGCTGCTGTTGTTGTTGTTGGTCGGTTATTTTCATAACCTCCGTCTTGTCTATGTTCACCTGGAGTCCTGTCTTTGCTGCTTCTTCGAACAGTTTGTCGGTTTTCTCTTGTAAGTCTTCGATTTTGTGTGACATCATACATAAATCATCCGCGAAATCCAGGTCTTCTAGGTTCTTCACACCGGTCCAGGATATCGCTGTCTTCTCGTTTCCCACTGTCTGACGCATAATCCAGTCCACCACAATTAGGTATATCATTGGTGATAATAAGCACCATACTTTGAAATGGGATGAAAAAAAAGTTATTTTGGTGCGCATTATCTGCAAAGTATAATTGGGATATTTATTCGTCTTACAATTTTACACGATTGTGTTGATCTCGTGTACTCGTTCAAAGTACGCTAATTCTAATATGGGGTGTCTGACACTTATTATTAGTCTTCACAGTTGAAAAAGTGAAGTCCTCAGCAATCAATATCGACTGACCTTAACAGAAAAATGATAACAGTAATTATAGAATAATCTGTAAGAAACTTGTAACAGGTGTAGTGACTGTAATAATAGTGGCACACATTGATGGTTTACTATCTAAAATATATTCCCGTGACAGGCACAAATATCAGTTACTAAACCTGCTGTCTGTGTGTGAATAAAAACTCATTAGATGCTATAGAATTGGCATAGTTTTCATTTCAGTTATATGAGAAATGATAGTACTATTGAGGTTGGATAATGCAAGGTAAAGGTTGTCTGACAACTTTGTCATCAACATATTGCATAAATGTATGAAATTCCCACCCCCTTCCCTTGTAGTCATAGTAACGAAATTTAATTTCTCTGTATAACTCTCCGAGTCAACTTTGAGACATTGTATGTGTGAATAATAGTAAATTTTATTGTATGTTTTGCGTATTATATCATGTGAAGAAGTATTTTATCATTTCTTTTAGTAGTACTTGTCAACTAAGTGAATTCATGATATTAGTGTTCATCAGTTTTAATTGGAGAAACTCTTCTCTTCCCCTAACTACTCTCCTTCATGCTGAGTTACTTTCAAAGGGCACTGAGATGACTTACTTGAATTTCATTAAAAACTGATAACGATAGGGATGAGTCATACGGATGATTTAATCTGTTATACTGAAGATGGAACAGAGAAAATTGTTGTGGTGAATTTTTAAAACTTACACTCACTGTAATGCCTAATCATTGTTTAAGGAATCTTGGAAGAAGTTATGGTCAGGGGACTCTAAGAACATACTTGAATGTCCAACATCGGTGTGAAAAGGTCTAGTCGTTGATGCTTTAGATAATACGGTGACCGCAGATCATCATTCTGTACTCTGTAACTACTATCACACTCTCGATTTAAATATTCACTCCTATCAACCAGATATGAAATATGTTCAGTAAAGAGTGTGTGACACAATGCTCTGATACATTTTTTCTTGGTGTTCAGTGTACCAATATAAAAAGCCAATTGTGACGAAAGCCTCTTTCATTATATACACACATATAATATACTTTATTTTACCCATTTGTAATTGACATGTTACACTTGTGCAAACATGCTCTTAATGATTTATTATTATTATTATTACTGTTTTTACACAAAAATAAGTTTCACTATATAACTTTTCATCTACACACATCGTCATGAATATAGCGTATATTCTATGGGTGCACACCCAAATTTAAGGATATATATATATGATATTAATCCAAACAAGGCCTGAACAAATATTAGTTGATATTCACTGTTATTCGCACTTGTGAATGTAAACAACATATACACTGCACAGTATCTTTAATTATTAATGTGTAAAATGAAGTGTTAATAATTATAAATGTAAACATTCTTGTCATCAGTAAATTCACCACCATACTATATTGCGTAAGACTTCTGAATTTCTCTCTATTTACTTGGTCGAGTGAAGTGGATAATAAGTTTGATCACTGACTGATTTCACTTACAAAACCATTAAAAAGCCATAAAGTATTGGACAGCTTTTACGACTTCCTTGTGTGAGTCTCATCGGTGGTATGCAACCACGATCGAAACAGGGATCGAACCTAGGACCTTCAGATTACAAGGTGACCTCCTTGATCATACAGCCACTGAGACGGAATCCACTGACCTATTTCTGCCAATTTGTGACGTATAGCTCGACCACTAATCAATGTTTGTTGTCACTCTCAACTTGAAGGGACCTCACTGGTCAAAAATTCTCACTAGAACTTCAATCAACTTCACCTTGTAGTCAACCACTAATGATCACTAGTGTGGTGTCCGACAGGAATGCCCACTATCCCCATTTCTAGTCAATTTCATCAAGGATGTACTAATGGAATTAACCCTAGCTCACTTCAGAGACTCAGGGGTTGACTTGTTACCAGGGAATAACCTTGTTGACTTAGAATATGCAGATGATATAGCCCTTTTAAGTGAAGACTCTTCTGAACACCTTGAGCTGCAATCTGCGTATGTTATGCATGTAGTTCGCCCTCACAAAGTGTAAGATGATACTACAGGTTTGGACTACATTGACTCCCAGCTTAAAGATAGGGAGTGAAGTGGTAGAGCGCATTGACCACTTCACTTATTTGAGAAGTTGCATTAGCCCCAACGGGTTGATCACTGACGAAATCTCAGCTCAAATACAGAAGGCTCAGTTCGCATATACCAGTTTACGCCGTCTCTAGCGTAGACGTGATATCCGGCTATCGACCAAAGGGCTTGTGTACTGCTCAACAGTTCTCTCCGTCCTCCTTTTTGGCTGGCTGTGAGACCTGGCCATTGAGAGTGGAAGACATGAAAAGGCTAGGTGTCTTTGACCATAGGTGTCTGCGTTCAGTCTTTCATGTGAAATGGTATGATAGGGTGAGCAATATTGACTGAAAGGTAAAGAGGGGTAACCAATTGATGAGGTTGCGAAGTTACATCGTTTGAGATGATTAGGACATGTGTTAAGTATGCCTAGCTACCGCCTACCTCGACAGTCAATGTTAGCTGACATAGGATCGGGTTGTAAAAGAGCTAGTTAGTGGTGGTCAAACCAAAACATGACTTCATCAGTCAATGGAATCCACAACAATTAGTTTAAGCCACGTAGGAAGGTGTAGATTTCCTGACTGGTTGAGGTCCTCGGGACGGTAAAAACCAATGAAAGCTGGAGACAGTTGGTGAAATGGCTTAAAATCGTTCTCAATGGGTGGCGCAGATGCATCCACTCCTTGTGACTTATAATACCCAATGAAACTAAATTGTTCTTCAATATTACTATTCTTTTTGCCTCATATCTGTATTTACTGTCACTATTTTACATTTCTTTTTACTTTCTCCTCTTGCTTTGTGTGCTACATGGAGTGTGACGACTCGAACTGCTGCACATCTGTGCAAAATTCTATGTTGAAACCAGTCAGTCAGTCAGTGATTTGAGAAGATCCTATTGATTCCAATTTCCATCATGAATTGTCTTCAATTAGGGAACCGCTGAAAAGTAGTGAGTACTGGAAAGCCGTTTCGTTCTTGTTTGGGGCTCTTCAGACGTTTTCGTGTTCTGTTTTTGGTTGTGATAATGATTTTGAGTGGCTAAAATGAAATCTTCTCACGCATACGGGCGAGTTTAATCTCAAATGTTTCTTAATTAAATTGATCCAGATAGAGAATAATAATATTCACCATAAAAATCTTTAAAAATACTAATTGTTACAACACAGTTGTATATACATACAACAACACAATAGGGTGCGACTGGGTGAAAGTGTTATAAAGCAACATAGGTAGAGATGTTAATCACGTATCTTTGTTTATTGATTCAACACCGCGCACGTGCAATCGAAACGATGCAACGCCTATACAGAAGATAAGAAAAGTTGCAACAAACAGGAAGGGCAAGAGAGAGAGAAATACATGTATAAAGTAAATGATAAAGCCGTGTGACTAACTGATATGATCATGAGCAATAAATTCTGCTTGAAACATCATCTAGTTATTAATACTGCATCATTGTGTGATGTTTGAGATAAACTGATCTAATATGGAATTGCATTCTACCACAGTGCCCATGCTATACACTTACATAGTTGTATATATATGTTCACTGATTGTATTCACTTCTGTGGTGAAGAAATAATTTTGTGCAAACCTCTCGATCCATAGTTCTAAAGCTTAGACTTTCATCACTTTATGAGAAATTCAGCATTTTTGACGTATTTATTGTATCATTAACGATAAAATAGAGATGAAATATGAGCCTTTAAAGAATTTCGCAATGATATCTGTTTTAAAAAAGATACATCCAGTGCTGAGCACAGAAATTCAAACTTGCACAAATTGACTTTAAAATACTTAGATAAATACTGTAGATATCTGATATCCACAAAATGTGGCAATGTTTTCCGGTATAAAATGAATCTTCGTATCACGAATAAAAAAATAAATCAATAATATTCAGGCATAGTGATATCTTCAGCTCAGGGTTTAGTACGGTCTCTCGGTTGCAGTTGACATATCATCCCTTCATGTCGACTAGGAGGTAACACAGGAAAAAGTAAGATAAATGAAAGTCGCAGAGACATGTGAGACAAGGAGTATGGCGATAAACTAGAAAGGAAGTCAAATGTTACAGCCAGGTGGAATATAAAGCAGGAGTGGCTAATGATGTTATCAAGTTAATTATGAAAGTGTTCACAGTTGATTGTAAAAGCTCAGTGAGCACGAAACGTTTTCTATAAGTTCTTATTCTTTATATCTTTGGGAGTTTATTGATGTTTTAAAGTTGAGTTTTCTACTCAGTTTATCACTCTGTTACTTTTTAACTGCTAATGACTACTTTTCGAAGAGTATTCGTTCAATCTAACCAATGAATTTACTTTTTATTTTGGTGTATGTTGTTCTTGAATATCAAGTGATGCTGGTTCAACCGTCCCGGAAAGTTGTATATTTGGCCAGTTGTTAAATATGGCTTCACTAATTGGTAAATACCGATTAACTGATATATTGTTTTATCAGTGCTATCGCTTAATGTTTATTATATAACACTGTATACATATAAATGTCTGATGAGCGCTACATCTTAAAATGTATTAAACATGAAGCGTTCTGTTTAATTATTTTAATTATTGTCTGTCTTCATTACGGTTAATTTGTCAATATAAGGAAACTAACGCTTTGCATTAGACGTTGGGATTCAAATTTCAGAATCAATGATAAACAGACTAAGGAGAAGTAAGAGCACACCATTCTGTCTTTTTAACAATTAATTTAAGGAGATATTAGTGATTAGTCGATGGCTTTTAGGCATACTGCACTCTGAAGTATAAAATAATGGTGATAATTAAAACGACAAAAGGTGACTCTCTGAGCCCAAGTGGTTTGGTGGATAACGATTCAGCGGTTGAAATGCCGGGCACTGGCTTCGAGCCTCAGTCGATATACCATCACTCACTGGCGAATCCAGGCATATCGGGATGATGAATCCCAACCCATGGATTCGACTGCCAGTCACCAACCACCAAATTATTTCAATATTATACTTACAGATTAGAAATTTCTTGGTTTAAATCTAACCAGTGTAGTATTCATTAATATTAGGAAGAAAATTAACTATAGTCATAAAGATAAATATGAATAAAGCAATGGATAAATGACTAGTGGGACATACTTTTCAGCAATATAGCCGAATCGGTAACTTTAAACACGTACACGTACACACTTGTGTTTTCCTTCATATTGTATGCGGGTAATTTCAGTGTGAATGGTATAAATAGCAGTTCCCTCTCCTCAATAGAGTATAGTTATCCAAAAATTTCTTTCTACTTCGCGGGCATAAAGTTATATTTAAGTGAAGCTTTAGAGAAGAATTCACTGTCACTGTAGATATTCTTAAGCAGGTATGAGTTCAGTTGACAAAAGGATTGAGCGAAGAAGTAAATATTTCTGCAGTTCGATCCCCATCTACTGCTCTACTCTAATGCATACAGAAATTTGCCAGTCTGGTGGTGATAAGTTTGTTAATAATAATTAGTCAATATCACCATGTCAACGGGGTACTAATTAACCAAGAAAATTAGCGTAGCAATAAAATAGTTGAAATATTTGCAAAAATTAAACAAGTGGATTACAAGTTACATAATTTTGCAGAAAAAAAAGAGAATTAAATGAGTGTTCGGATTGATTATGCAATTAACAGTCAGAATAATAAAATAGTAAGGACAATGATAACATGTAGAAGGCTTAAGTGGAGGAAAAAATTGTCATTTTCTTACATTCACGTAATGATGATCAAGGTAAGCAAAGTTACTGCAATGCTTTATTAATTCTTTATTAATATCAGCTTAATGCTCACTGTCTACAAGGTATGATAAAACAGGAGTTTAAACATGCAGTATGATATTCAAAAACCCGGATGTTAAACATGGCTAAATTGTACGTCCAATATAATTATCTCTACAGGAGCAATCAGACTGGTAGATACACACAGAGGAGGCAAAATTAAGTAGTTTATCCTGATTTCTCGAGTGTAAAACTGCAGTGGTTGGAAAGAAGCACTGGATGCTCTTTTTACTGCCTTCTTTAGACACTACGTTATTGCTTCACCGATGTTATCACCGAGAAACTGCAATCTGATGAACAAGGGCTTCTTTGGATTTGTTGTCACACTGATTTACCTTAACGCTGAATCCGTATTTGTATCAATAAGTTTATCTGGACAACCATTTAGGTCTTCGATAATCTTGAACTCATCGTTTGAGCAGGATACTCTATGAACCAAACATGTTACTAAGTTGCGTTTATGTTTCAAAGGTATGAAAATCAAAAGAAATGAGTACACAGACTTCTCGTTATAGATTTCCTGAATAAACTGCTTCTTATCGGACCACTAGACTAGTACATTTCTATAGCGTATTGTAAATTGTTATGTATGTATGTGTTGGAGTGGAGGATTTCATCGGAAAGTTACTATTTCTTCTCTCAGTCCTTTTGTTTTCTTACTTAGCAATGCTGTATATCAGTTCAAATTACTATACTAGTGTTTACTTCACTGTGAAAGCTGTTTTTCTACGTGTACTGATAACAAAGATGACACCACTAATGTTTAGGCATACACTGATAATATTATTTTGTACAGATTTTTTTTATCGTTCAATTATTTATTGTTTTCTTCCTGCGTGGATTTATACATAAAGGAGGTTTATGTTTCTATTCATGGCACAAATATATATTGGATTGCAGTCAGAAATATGATCGGCGATGTTATCGTCAGACGAAAATAGCTAGAATCGCTTTATGTTTTGGCTTCATATCAGCATTTGGAATGAGTTTAGTAGCTAATTTTCAAGTGAGTTAATTCACTGTTGTACAGACAAATATTGTTTTCATTTTTTTGTATATGTCATGTAATAATCAATTAGTTTGATGATGATGAGCAGAAACATAAGGATGTATTTGAACATTAATTAATCAGAGAAACATTATTACTTTTATTATTCTTTTGCAGTTACTGAAAGATGCTGTACATGTTGGATAGATTTATTCAGGAAGCCGTGGTTTTTGGTCCCAATGAGGGACAACTAAAATTATGACGAAAATGTGGATTGTATAAACATTCAGACTAATAGTCTTTAGACAACTGGCTCAGCCAAACAAAGTCATAAGATATTCAAGTGTTGGTTTGTAGTGGTTTGATTGGTTACAGGAATTCATCGTGAGCTGACATTAGTTAAAGAATCATTGGAAAACCTGGGAGTATTGGACAGCTGTTTCGTCTTAGTTTGGGACTCTTCACAGTACGCACCCACCGGGATTCGAACCTAGGACCTTCTGGTTACAAGGCGAGCTCCTATACCATTAAGCCATTGGGACCCAACCCAATGGCCCATGAATTTTAACTTCTGCCAATTCACGACATAACGCGACCCCGGTGGGTGCGTACTACTGAAGAGTCCCGAACTAGGACGAAACAGCTGTCCAGTACTCCCAGGTTTTCCAACGGTTCTCTAACTAATGTCAGCTCATGATGAATTCCTGTAACTAAAGTCATAAGATTTTACGCTTGTCAGGTTTTGATTTCATTGAATTTCTCCGTCCCCCCCCCCGCTTCCTCGTTGTCTTACGAATGAGACATGCCAAGGTGTATCAAATCAGTCTGCTTGACGGCATTGTGGCGAGTGCTACTGATAAGATTTATCAGTAGTAAATAAAGAGACGCCCATCGGCATAAAAACATCAAGTAGCAGGGTGATACATCTGACGTTAGAGAAAGCAAAAGATTTGGCGTAGTGAAGATACATGGGAGATGTGAAAGGAACACAAGGAAACACAATATGATGCAAGGCGAGAAGTAACACAACACGGAAGATATGTTTAAGTGGTACGCTGAAGATAAGGTGTACAAAATTTGGTTATTTAGAGATACCAAATTGTAAATAGACATTCCTTTACCAAGTCTTTCGTCTTCTACCGTTTCAGTTTTGTCTTTTTAACCCGGATTATTAAAATAACGATTAAGGACCTAGCCAGTCAGCTAGTGTTAAAAATGGTGATAAGCAAGGATTTGTGCATCCTATTCATATGGCTACTGAAAGCAACCTCCTTGTGCAATCGCAGTAAAGATAAGACGTAATCAGTAGTTATGTTTCATAGGTAGAAAACTCTTCATTAGTTTTTGTACTACTAGTTCACATAAACTGAGCATAATGGTTCTTTCTCAACTTGAAAAGTCACTTTGTTACTTCTAATCGGTTTCTTAGACTGAATCTATCCTATATATTACAAGATGTTACATACTTTTGAGCGGCATTTATCGTTAGAAACCACTCAAACTACCAACTAGTGGTTCATGCTAACGAAATCAAAGTGAACTAGACATTGGATAACCTTTCCTGCCGTTTGGAACCGAGCTGACCTCAGGGTGCCTAGTGAGTTCAAACCACCCCAATTCCTCCCAAATACTTTGAGTACATATTCTGATCTGAATAGTTTCAATAAAGTATTATTCTATGCACTAGGTTATATATATATATACATATTAGTTAGAATTCATGGGCCATTGGATCGGGTCCCAGTGGCTTAATGGTATACGAGCTCGACTTGTAACCAGAAGGTCCCGGGTTCGAATCCCGGTGGGTGAGTACTGTGAAGAGTCCCAAACTAGGACGAAACAGCTGTCCAGTACTCCCTGAAGGTTTTCCAATGGTTCTCTAACTAATGTCAACTCATGATGAAAAATCCTGTAACCAATCAAATCCCTACAAAACCAACACTTGAATAACAAAATATTTTAGTTGTGCTCACTGTTAGTGAATATTACTTTAATTAATACTAATGTAGTAATTTGGGTTTTCTGGAATTTTTATTAGAAGCCTTGATAAATAGGGTCGACCGTGGTAGGACGAGAAGGAAGTTGGCGAATGGCGATCGAATTGTATTAAGATTTCCTTATGCATTAGTTCTACTAGTAATGTGGTACTGGTGGCCTTAAAATCATGCATATGCTCAGGCTGAGGAATTCAAAGCAGCGTTGGAAATCGGAATAGCTGTTAGCTATCATGAAAAGACCGTTCTGTTCTAAATGCTCTTGTCTTTTCAATTGTTAGTAGCGATAATGAAGTTATACCACTTCTTACAAGCCATTATTTGATAACCCGTCAAACAGCGTGTGTATTCCACTGCAGTTCACTTCATCATAGTTTTCAGTTGTGTGACGCAGCTGTAGATATTCTTCAGTTTTCTGATCGTTTGTTTCTTCTTTCATGTACTCACGTTAGTTGAAGCAACATAGCGGATGGAGCTGAGATGAATCGTAAAATTTTCTCGACAAGCTATGTCGTTTTGCATCAGAACTGGGCTCAGAGATTGTTATGAGTAGTTAGATCAAAATATGGAATGAACTGATGAAGCCGGTGTCTGTTGGTTTGAGTCATGTAGGGTGGTGTAAGTTAGTATGGTTAGGATTTCTGAAATGCCAAGAATGAGTGATTGTAGACACATAGTGATGTGACTCAGAATCTTACACTTAGACGCATATGTATATTTTATTCTCTGTCATCTTCCAAACTGAAGATATATTCGCCAATTCTCTTTGAACCATTACTTCCGTCACACACAGCTTTGTACATTATAGTGTCATTCAGTTTCTGGATGACACATTTTATAAGTACCGTTTTTAAGTCTGACAATTTCAATAACTTGTTTGCTTATCTGTCAAGGGAAATTCAAGTAATCCGAATGATTTATAATACAGGCACGCGAACAAATTATTTTAAGGTCATATCATTATCAAATTAGATATGTAGACCTTTGGTTGTATATAATTAGTGTCCATGTTTTATATTAAGAAATGTCAGAATAGTTTGAATAATTAAAGTCCCTTTCAGGTCGTGGACGAGAATATTAAGTCACTTAAAATTATGTCGAAAGAAAATGTGGACAAACTAACATTGTTTCTAATAAATTCTCCTTATTTCTTCTAATGTGAACTGACTCTAAATTGAAATCAATAAATGATGGCTACAGGCTACTCGGTAAGTGAATGAGAAACTAGCTTCTAAATCACAATCTTTAGGTGACAGAAGATTGAAAAAAAATAAAAGTTCGATCGCTAAAACGTGAAGATTTGTCGTGTTTTTTTTTTGACATGTAATTTGTTTTCTTACTTGTGAATCATAGGGTTTCAGTAAAACAAAGTTAATAACGCCTTACACGTTTGAGAAAATTTTGTTTATCATGTAAACTGTGAGAAAAGGATTTTTTAGGTGTCTTGCTTTACTCTCAGTTAAGTAATTGGTTTGTTGGTCGATTTGTATTCTACATCATTATGTCTACAGTGTTGAGGATTGGACTCAGATCTTTAAAGTTTCAAGCCGAATATATTACCAAACATCGATTGCTTGAACTCTTCGCGAATAATTTATTGAATTCAATCTATTATATGAACTATATTATTTAACTGGGTACGGACTGATTAATTTTAAGTTAATATTCTCAGGTATTGGTTTTGTAGGGATATTGTTTGATTGGTTGGAGGATTACATCATGAGCTGACATCAGTTAGAGAAGTTAGAATTCATGGCCTATTGGATCGGGTACTAGTGGCTTAATGGATTACAAGCTAGACTTGTGACCAGAAGACCCTGGGTTCGAACCCGGTGGATGCGTACTGTGAAGAGTCCCAAACTAGGACGAAACAGCTGTCCAGTACTCCCAGGTTTTCCAATAGTTCTCTAACTGATGTCAGCTCATGAAGTTAGTATTCATTGCAAATTCAAATGGGTTAAAGAACCATCAGGAGCTAGACAGCACTGTAAGCTTGCTACATTAATATTTGAAACCCCCAGGAGGTCTGACTCACGACATACTTTAGCGTCAAACCCAAAATCGTTTATTACTGACTGAAATGTTTGACGGAAACTCTCATAAAAGTGTATCAGTTTAAGTTGCAACATTTCGAAAAGCACACAAAATAATCATAATAGATAAACAAGCAATGTGACTACCATTCTAGGTGGCTCGCCACCATGGTGCACTTTGAATAGTTGATATAAAATGGACACATTACACCAGTTACTAACTAGTGTCCAATCAGAAGTATCCAATACAGTCCTAAAGGAGGTCGATCGCGAGCCCGAATAGCTCAGTGTTAACGTCTGTGACTTCAGTACTGGGTGATATGGGTACGAATCACAGAAAGGACATGAGTTCCTACAAGGTTGCAGATACGCCTTGCTGACTGGTGAGTGCCAACTAGCACGAGACCTAGGTGCAAAGCTTCCTGACGATTGCCTCCAACCATCTGATACTTAAGCCATTGTTTTGTGATTTCACTGAGTGATGTCATGTTATATTCTGACAATTCGTAACTGTTTTCCCATCTCAACTTTTACTTGCCACGACGCTCCATATAAAAAGAAAATGAATAAAAATGTCCATGATCAAAAACATCTGATCTTTGAATACATTTATTCTCAGCTGTCAATCCTTTAGGGTTGACACAACTTTGCAAATAGTTTAAAGGGTAAACAAATGCGGCCATTTAACTGACTGTGCTTAAATTAGGAGTTGGCGCACACGATTCCTCCAATCTCATCTTAAATCCTATGGGGGGTGAAATCGATACCAAACACACCCAGATTTTTGTTCTAGATATTCATTAAGGTCTTCATCTAAAAGGACTAAATCATCTGTGTTCTCGAACTCACTGTGACCTTCTGCATATTGGAGCTAAAGAGTTCACTTGAGTGAGAATCACATCCATCCTCACGTCAATAATCAGACTAAATATTAATGGTGACATGAGCCATTTTTCATAGACACCACTGGTTATTAACACTTCGAACAAAACTTATCCATAAGCTCCCAGTGTGGTCCTATGAGTTCAGACATAGTGCTTTCATTTACCTAGCATACATTATAGTTACTCTGTTCACCAGCAGGCATTACCACAATACCAACCTATCAATGGAGTTAAATGTCTCCCTCGAATAAACAGCAAGTGTCGTACTCCAGTAAGTATGCGGGTGTTCGGACACCTGTTGAAGGGTGGAGATTTATTCAATACACCCAACTCTGAGATTGAAACTTGCCTAGTTTCTATCAGGTTTTCTTAAGTTACATCATGAGAGTTTAGATACCACATCTGTTAATCGTATTTTTCATCGGAATATTTGTTCCTTTTGTTGTAAAGTGATATTCGCAAGGATCTACAGCAATCTGATAGAACCATTTACCTCCCTTAGAACAGTTGGACATTTCAGCTAAGGTAACAACCTGCTTATGTCCCTCCTCCTTAAGATGGAGATGAAATATTTCTGTTTGTATGAGAGATGAGCCTCTTGCTACTTCTATACCCTAATCCATCAGTAGTGTGATTTAGCCTTCAGACTCCACCATAGTGTAGATGGATAGCGGTGCTCTGATCTTACTTTCGTCCAACTTCTACAGTAACGTCATTTCAGCCTTAGTAGACTGTTTGGCTATTGGTATATACTAGCCCAACTATCGGTTAGAATGATGTTTTTTTATTATTTTCTGGGTGTTGTCCTTTAGGCATAAAATTGAGTCAAGACTTATTTGATTCCTCCTTCATTTTATTTTATACTTTGTCAAGGTAACCGCCCAGTACCAGCCCAGTGTGATAATATTTATTACGACAGACTAAGGTAGTAATTTTTTTTACCTTCAATTATGTAAGGACATGTTACTTATACAAAATATTTCATGACTTCAATCTCATTATTATTGCTTGATTATTTACTTTATTTTAGGAAACAGCTGTTTGGTCTGTACATATTATTGGTGCAGCATTGGCTTTTGGTGGTGGTTCGATATATTCACTGTGTGTCACGTATATAACATATAAATATCTTCGTTCTGGTCGTATTTGGATTACACGTTTCATATTATCACTTCTTACAATTGCATCATTCATCATACGTAAGATTTTTAAGTTTTTAAGTTATTTGTACCATATCACCGGAATACAGTTTATGTCTAAAAGGTGTTTGGAAATCGTATTACGCATTAGCATATGAAGATATATTTATGATCTAAATAGTCCCCATCTACTCATTCAGGACTGATAAGCTATGCTTCCATCTATTCATTTCGTTTTCAGTATGGCTGAAACTCTGCACTTGTCACTTTAAATTTTTAGTAAACCTACCTTGGTATTTCCAGTTATGTTAGTCACTCGTTTTCCCCTTGGCACTAGGTGTACACTGTATGTGTTTGATTTGGTGTAACTGATTGGATTATTAATCAATTATTAATACGCACATTTCGAATTTCTTATCTGGAATTTCATTCAATCCTAACTGTTCACAGTGTCATTATATGTGATTAGGAATGGGAATTTACTTGATCTCGGATACAGTGTCATGTGTAAATAAAAGAGAAGACGTTCAGAGAAGAAACTCTTTTCGGCGAATTCATTCACACAACTGTACAATCACATTTATATATAATTATTTGTGTGTGTGTGTGTGTGTACATGAGGTTTGTCAAGTTTAGATAATTGATCAGGTAATACAAGAATGATCTAATATAGAAACAAGGTTAATCAGACAGCAACTAAAGTAAGATTGAGTTAGTAAGTTAGATGACGTAATATAATTCAAGGTCAAAGTAACAATGAAGACCACTAAACCATATAACAGAGGTAATATTACATCTGCTATGGTATCAAAACAAAATTTACCAAGGAAGGTTTAATGTGATGACGAATTGCTTTTGAACGCATTAAGGTGGCTTAAACTTTCTAATTGCTACGGCTTCCACAAACTTTAGGATACGCCCCAAACACGTTTTATAGATAGGTTTAAAAGATCTGTTGACATCAATTTTATGTCCTATCTCTATAATATGTTTCGCAATAGAAAAGCTAGGTCTCCTGTTCTCACCGTTAATAGGTTCTGAAGATTCCATTTATTTCTGGAGCCATTTAGGAATATGCTCTGAAGCCCTTAATTGCAGAGATCGATGAGTCCTCCCTATGTATGTGTGTCCACACGCACATTCAAATTGGTAAATACAGTGGGATGTGACGTCATTTTTCGCAGGTTGGAAGGGCTTAGATAGATATATTGGCTTTACATTCTCTATTATTATGATATTGGCTGCATAAAAAGTCTTTTTGACAGCAGCGTTCAGTCTTTGTCTAGTTATCAAGCTGCTTTGATGCCCCATATAGGGTAGCTTGATGTTCACGTCTTTCTTAGGTCAGGGTAGCAACATAGGTAATTACAAGTAGAGACTAAGTAGAAGTGGGGTAAGGTATAATGTCATTTTAATTAGAATTGAAATTGAGCAATTAAGTTGGATGACGTAACATAAATGACTAGAAATTGAGCGTTGGTCAAGTCAGTAACAGTGGTAGTGAGGTGTAGAAATTAAATCGAGTGGGGGTAGAGAACAGAAAAGTTGAAAATGTAAAATATTACAGTTGAGAAGACACAATAATACTAATGAAGAGACAGGAAAAAAGATTAGGTAGAATTTACTTGTCGGGTAATAAGGTAGATTACGTCCATTGCAAGTGTAGTGATTGAACGAACTTCTTCTGTATGCAGATTTCAAGACTTAGCAAGTCTTACGCCATTGCCTCTGCAGTTTGAAGAAGTATGATTCGTACACCTTTAGGAAGACTACTTCTTACTCTATAGACGACTTTGAAGTTTGTTTGGGGTGCAGCTTAGTGTCCGGATTCTATCAGGTGTTCTAAGATGGAGCTTCGGGGGCATCGTTTTTCTCCTTTGTAAAACCATGTTGGTGAGTGTTCGGTGATACGTTTGGAAAGCTAGTGCTGGGTACGACCGACATACGTGGCTCCACACGAGCAGGTAAATTGAACGTTACTGTTACTGACTTGACCAACGCTCAATTTCTAGTCATTTATGTTACGTCATCCAACTTATTTGCTCAATCTCAATTCTAATTAAAATGACATTATACTTTACCCCACTTCTACTTAGTCTCTACTTGTAATCACCTATATTGCTACCCTGACCTAAGTTGAAACATTTTAGTTAATTATATTACGTCATCTAACTTACTAACTCAATCTTACTTTAGTTGCTGTCTGATTAACCTTGTTTCTATATTAGATCATTCTTGTATTACCTGATCAATTATGTAAACTTGACAAACCTCATGTACACACACACACACAAATAATTATATATAAATGCGATTGTACAGTTGTGTGAATGAATTCGCCGAAAAGAGTTTCTTCTCTGAACGTCTTCTCTCTTTCATATGACTCATTTGGTGATTTTCGAGTGTAATATTTAACAGAAAACAGACTTTACCCAACTACGAAAACGCATCGTTGCTATTTTAACACATTCTCCACGTATCTTACAGTATTCCTAATTGCAGTAATAGTATGTATTAGTAGATTCTTGGATGCAAGCTGAATTTTTTTCCAGACAACTGCTTTGGATTCTTTATGATGCTGGCCGAAGCTATACTTTAACTGCTTATAGGTGTTATTTGAAAAGTAGCATTCCTTCCCGCAATTAACCTTATTAGAAAGGAAGAGGGAAATCACTAGGTTCCCTTCTTGAAAATACTGCAACTGAAAAGAAGCGTACACTGATATCGACTGTAACTTCTGTGACTGTAGCACTGCTTGACGCTGGTTCGAATCTCAGAAGGCTGTGTGTTCGAATCACGTCGGGCTCACCAATTGTAAGTGCCGTATTTTATCCTCAGGTGAGTTTGCCTGTCACACTTACAAAAAGACTAACTTCTTTTGCCTAGGTCTTAATCAGTACTCTGCCTATCCTACAAGTACTGAGGAACGAATAAACAGAAGAAAATAAAAGGACTCACCACTTGCCTGTAACCAAACCTATATTTATGACGAATGTGATTAGAACTCTTTAATATAAAAACAGGTTTACCACTTATCTGTACCCGTAGGAGTAGGGAGCTCGAGGAGTATGCTTGTAGGAGAGTACAGCGAGGGAGAAAGCGTGCAATTGCCAAAATGTACAAGAAGCGAAGTGCCGCAAGCGAACCAAAGTGGAGTAGCGTCAAAAATTGGATGAGTGAGTTAAAACAAAAGTTGAATGTACACTACAAGGGCATGAGTTCGTTCACGGTTGCAGATACGCCGTGCTGACTGGTGAATGCCAGCTAGCACGGAACCTAGGTGCATGGCTTCCTGCGGATTGCCTCTAACCATCTAATATCAACAATTCAAAATACACCGTGATGACGAACCACCTAGAATGGTGGCCACATTGTCAACATGACTGATTGAATTTAGTCTGCACTAAATAAAGGACTAGACACATGACACTAGTTACTCACTAGTGTCCAATCAAAAGAGTAAAACTGTATTGGTGTGATAGATTTTATAAAAGCAGAAGAAGGCTCAGGTAAACATTCGTTACGGTTATCTTAATTCATCTAAAACCTCAATACCTTATGTGAAAAATGTTCCACTAGTTACCTGTAAATAACAAGTCAATGTGGGAATAAAACAAGTGCACTTTCCTACATCAAAACTAGCTCAAGAACTATTGAGATCCTTTATATTCTGTAATCTTCTCTAAGCTCTGTAGTTTCTTTTGTGAAACTTATTGATTATTTTTGAAGTTACTAAAGCTTTTTCTCAAACAACCATTGTAGTAGGGTAGTATCTAGTGTTTTCTGCTCATTATTCTACCGGATGACGTTTCGATATCACTTCAGTTATAATAATCATATCTAAGTGAATTCTGTCTTCTTTTCTAAGTTGTGTATTCGTGGTGTTTAAAGTGACGATGCCAGCTTCAATTTTAAAGTTTATAAGTTTGATAATAGTAACATCAGCATCAACCACTTATGTACCTTAACTCATTTAGAGATTCTTTTTCCGTCTTGTTCTTTTCTGTATCACTGTGTCATTCTAAAAAGGTGATTATGATACACACGAAACAAACAATCGCTTCAGACATTTCGTTATATGTGTCAGTAGTTTTTCGCCAATCTGTTTTGACACGTCAGTGTCTACTGTCTGACTAGGCATTAAAAGTTTCCATTATGTAGATGTAGATCTGTTATTGATTGAAAATTAAAGGGTATATTGAACGCTTTACAGTCTCATCTGACAGTTTTTTTATCCTTCTCTTGTCACTGTGCTTTAACTTATCTATAATTGTGTATGTTGATTGGTTTCTTCTTTTGGTAAATACAATTTGTTAAAAAATTGGCAGGTTATTCTGAAATGTCGTTTTTACATGTTACGTTTTTTTCAAAGTAAATTAAAAGATTCTCGTAAAATTATTTCTCCAGATATAGCTATTTGACTATTATTTTTCATCATGTTTTGCAATTTTTGCTTCCACTGCTTTCATCACTGTGAATAAAGGGAGAAAGAACATATCTGCAGGATAATACGAGCTGGTCTTATTTCGTGGATTCGCCTCAACTGCGTACAACATTTTTTTTAAACAGTGACTTCAAGTTATTAGATAGGAAGTATAAGCAACATAATTCCAAGAAATGTAAGTAGATGAATTATTCAGTGTTAAGAGAGTAATTGTTTGGTTCGTGTGATTTTGTATTTTGTTCTACTGAGTAACATTATACGTAATTTCGATTATGATTTTCAAGTTTCCAAGTCTACTTAATTGTGTTGGCTGTGTTATAATTTTTACTTTACTATTCACTCTCACCCTCCTAAACTCTCTATCATAACATGTATAAATTGTTTCTCTGTCTTGTTTTATGTTGTACTTTGTCTCTAGTCAATCCTTGTTTCCAAGCGAAATTTGAACTCTCTAACCCTCTTTTCTAATTATACTATAAACAATTACTCTTATAACACTAAATAATTCATCTACTTACACTTTTGGATTTACGGAATATACACATTGGATCATAGGAATTATTAAAAAGACGGCTGCAGCGAAGACAATTTTCTTTTCGACGAAGTCATCAACTAT